GGGGGGGGGGGGGGGGGGGTTAAAGGTGTAATAAATAGATTTTTCAATTCAGACAAAACCAAAGAAGTACCAAGACAAAGGACAGAGCCCGGATCCTATCGACCTGGTTCATTTGAGAGACAAGAAAGAAGGAGCTATAACTTAAACCAGGGCTGAGATAGGAATCTTCGAAATACCTAGAACTACCTACCTATACAGACTTTGTCACTTGTCGGCCAGGGTTAGGTACGGAAGGGGAGCGGAAGTAGGTTTGCGTGATGGCATCTTCAATTAGAAGGCAAGGACATAGTAATACTAGGTATACCTTGCTGTTGTATGAAGACTTCATATATTGTCGACTCTTGTATAGGTATTTCACCTCTTTCACCTCTTTCTTTCCCGTGCCTTGCATTGCCCCGCCTTCAACGACTGCTTCCCCGCGCTAGACCCTTCACATCAATTCTGCCATTCTGCACCGCCTCCAATGACATACATGAATGTGGTTTACAGAGTATCTGATATATATATTCTCGCACATAATGATGATTATATTATTTGCTGCTCATTCGCACCTGCACCGGCCGCTTGGCCACATCCCTAAGGAGAGACTCTCTTCCTTTTGTCCTCTTCCATCCAAGCCTTCCAACATGTCTCTCCTGGAAGTTTAATCCGGACTGGAGGTGCATGTCGACATATCTATCATCCTCTCGCTTCGGGATCAACGAGCCACCCTGTCGGGCCTTCAGACCAATTGCCAATTCCTCAGACTATTCAAGTCCCTCTTCCTCATCCTTCCCAGAATCCACATCAATAACCGGCATGTGTGGCATTGTGAGACGATTTACAACCACCAATCCTCACAATAACTAGAGTCTTCACCATGTCGAACACCCCGCAGACGTCGTCCACCCACCCTTTTGGCCCTGGATTCCATGACCAAAACCTCCCCGCTACATATTCCCACTCAACAGGTACTTCGTCCCCAGAGTTACCATCCGTAGGCCTCAATGGGCCGATTCCAGAACAGGAGGACGAGACGAGCAGTGAGACTGCCAATGAGCCACCTACGCCCACAAACCCTCATACCATGGAAGGCAAGACATACGGCAAGAGACACAGCATACACATATTTGACGCCTTTCATGCCCACCGTTTCTTCAATGATACCTCAAAGGATGGAAGCGTTAAACGGGCAGTGTCTGGTTTATTTAAGAGATCCAGTTCACAAGCCCATTTCCCATTGCAACCTTTGACACGACGAGACCAATCAGTCAATGGATCGCATCCAATATCAAGGAAAGAAGGCCGGCGGCGATCAACCCCACGGATCTCAGCTACCAATTCCTCGCACACAACCAGATCCAACACGCCCCCATCGCCTGGCACGCCAGCCGAGGGGGAGGAACACCTGCGTCTGCAAATTCAAGAGCCTTCGAGCGACGAGTCTATTAACAGCAGGAAAAGACTTCGATCTTCTACTGGTCTCAGCATTCGAGATCGGTTTCACAGACACAAACTTACTTTCGGTCCGCCTCGGAACGAACCAAAACATGGTCATCATCGTCCTCGTTCTACCAGCGTTGACCTTGACATGGTTCCTCGGGATGAAATCCAGTCACGCAACCCGGATTTGCAGCAAATATCTCGTCAGGTTTGGGGGATGCCAGCAGAGACTGGTATTGGACTCAAGTCCCGACGGCTGAGCCTGAGTCTACCTGACGATTTCACGGTAGACGTTGTTGAATTGTACTCGGAATACACCGATCGGATAAAATTGCTTGGACGCCATGGAAAGAGTATCGGAAAGGGAGCAACTGCAAACGTCAGGCTCATGCAACGCAAGGGCAGTGGTGAGCTTTATGCAGTCAAAGAATTTCGAGGGAAGTCGTCGAATGAAAGTGCCGAAAACTACGAGAAGAAAGTCAAGTCGGAGTATTCGATAGCCAAAAGTGTCCACCACCCTAATATTGTGGAGACCTTCCGTCTCTGTACCCACAGTGGGCGGTGGAACCACGTGATGGAATTCTGTGATCAGGGCGACTTGTTCAGCCTCGTAAACCAGAAATACCTTGCTACAGATGCTCACCGTGTCGATCGTCTATGTCTATTCAAGCAGCTTATTCAGGGCCTCAACTATCTTCACAATCACGGCATTGCACATCGCGATGTTAAGCTAGAAAACCTCTTGGTAACCAGAGACAGTAAACTCAAGATTACCGATTTTGGGGTGTCTGAAGTATTTTCGGGTATACATCCCTGTTTGAGAGCAGCTGGCGGGCAATGTGGGAAGGAGATGGGAGAGGTCAGACTCTGCGCTCCGGGGATCTGTGGGAGTCCACCATACATAGCCCCTGAGGTAATTGCAAAGCGTGGTAAGATCAAACCTGGACCCCTCGTCATTCACTTGCTAATCGCGCAAGCAGGTGAATATGATCCAAGGCCCTTGGACGTGTGGGGAGCTGCCATAGTCATGCTATGCATGTGTGCAAATGGGTGCTTGTGGGACAAGGCCGTTGCGGGGAGCTCCCCCTTGTACGACGACTTGGTCAACGGATGGGCAAAGTGGAACACCACACATTCTGATGCTCCCGAGATCACCGAATCGGATTATCCCCACGTCAACTTCTTTGACAGCCATATCAAACCTCCAGCTTTGAGGCGTCTGCTTCTGACCATGCTCAACCCCGATCCTACGGAACGGGTGACCATGGCTGCGGTTGCGAACAATCGATGGTTGAAGCATGTCGAATGCTGTCAGGTTGACGGCTATGACGATCCCACTGTCCTTATCGACGCTTCGAAATCGAGGAGCTGTACTAACAAGTTGCCCAAGGTTGTCCATCACAACCACCTGCCTCCACACACGCGTTTAGGACGCAAATTGGCTCGGCTTCCGGGCAATAATAGCGATTGATATGAAATATACTTAATGATAACGGCGGAGTTGGTTCCTGCTTGACGCATTTTTAGCGGGTGCCTCGGTTCGATTTTGCGGTACTGCAGCAGTACGGAGTAGTAATGGGTAAACGGGGTTATTAATCTTGCCTTCAACAGGCGTCTACTGGGTTTTGGGGGAACAAAATTGGCCGGGGGCTTTGGGAGATCAGTTGGTTGCCTTTCGCTGTACGGAGTACATGGGCATTACGTGGAGGGCGTTGCATGATAAGCAAAGGGGGTGTACAAATTGGATAGTTAATGTGTACCCTATATGCGATCTCTATTCTGCCAGAAGTTTTCTGAATCTGCGCTCTGCCGGTGAGTTCCTCTTGTCGCGTTGCAGCCTTTTGTCGATCCAGACCACGATGTTGTGGTCCCAGGGGGGGGCCAATGGCTGCAACTCTGCTTGGTCAATTGTCGTTCAACCCCAGAATTGCCAGTCCCACTGCCAAATACCATGGCAAAACAGGGCACCGCGAGCCTGGGAGCAAGGATATCAAGCCTCTTGCAGGGGAGATACGGATCAGGCCAACGAGAAGGGCGAGAATTGCATGTTCACAGGCAGAGAGGATGGGGTTGATATTCTAGTATATAGGTAATAACTGCGATTCATTCTGGGTTAATGAATTGGTTGATACTGAAGCTTTCTCTCTCTTCTTTGACATCTAATCCAGAAGATATCGTACGAAAGTAGTCAAGATATTGAAGAGAACGTCTGCCGCTCAAGCTTCTGGCCCTCCCCCTCCTCGATAGCTGACCAGGCACGATATCGTTGAGTGTGCTGGCGTGGGGCATCGATGGCAGGAGGAGATCTCAAGACGAAGCTGAGAGCCATGTTCTTCCGCCGTCATTCCTCTGAATCCTGCTCGCCTTCCGCGGGTGCCGCTGATAGAGAAGCGCAGGCCGATCAGCGTGGCGGATCATTGGGATCATTGGCATCGCGGGGAAGCCGAGGGTCACCTTCAACAAACCTCGGGCGCGCTCCATCGGACGACGAGGAAGAAGACATTCATGATGTTGTCGAGACGAATGCGCCAGAGCTGCCTCGAGGTGGTGGTGAATCCGTTGTCGATGTTGTTGATCATGTCCATCGTCGCGGCGGCGGCCAACTAGGCCAAGACCAGGCCCGTAGCGATCTTCGCGAAACTGCATCACCATCCCAGTGTCAACCTCTCGACGTCCAAGTCGACGCCCTCCTCCACGACAACCACAGGCACGAAAGTTTTTCAACCGCCGGTTTCCCAACACCAGACACCGAGTTCCCTTCTGCGCCAGCGCCAGAGCCAGAGCCAGAGCCAGAGCCAGAAGATCATGCGGGACACGACGAGCATCGGCACGACGCGGAGAACATAGCAATCCAACCCAGCAGCCCGGCCGCCTCGAGCACCACCGCTCCAAGGAGACCATCAGGGCCTTCGAGGGAACAAAGTCTGCTTCCCCACCAGCAGACCGCTCTGATCAAGACGCTGCTGGAGACAGAGCTCCCGCCACAGTCCCGCACTGCGAACCTCAGCTCCAAGGTTCAGTTCAGATCACCAGCTCACGCTATCAGTCAAAAGTCAAGTCAAGCAACTAGAAAGAAAACCCATCTTCAATTGTTACAAGATTACAAAAGGGAGATGCGATGCTGATCGAAGGACTAGTTTTTGGTTGCGTAGACGAGATATTTTCCTGTACACAGCCCGCAAAGACCAAAACGCTACCCATCCCTTTCCTTCCCCCACTGCAAACTATACACACGGTACTCCCCCGTTAAACTACCCATCTATGATGACTTCTCGAGATCAGCGAGAATCTTCTCTCCCTTGGCCTATGGAACGGTTAGTCATCTGGAAAACGTTTAATACCACGGGGGGACTTACTCTCGCGGCCTCGAAGTTGGAAACCATGTAAAAGGAGGCTTCTGGGAGGTCATCACCCTCTCCGTTCATGATGGCCTTGAAGGAAGCGATGGTGTCCTTGATGTCAACAAGCACACCGGGAATACCAGTGAAGACTTGGGCAACAGTGAAAGGTTGGGACAGGAATCTTTGGATCTTTCGTGCACGCTCGACGGTCAACTTGTCGGCCTCAGACAATTCATCCATACCAAGAATGGCAATGATATCCTGGAGAGACTTGTACTCTTGGAGCATTTGTTGAACACGGGTGGCGGTCTCGTAGTGGTCTTGACCAACAACACGAGGGTCCAGCATACGAGACTTGGAGTCAAGAGGGTCGACAGCAGGGTAGATACCCAACTCGGAGATACCACGGGACAACACAGTGGTGGCGTCCAAGTGGGCGAAGGTGGTGGCAGGGGCAGGGTCAGTCAAATCATCAGCAGGCACGTAGACGGCTTGCACGGAGGTAATGGAACCCTTGGTGGTGGTGGTAATACGCTCTTGCATGAGACCCATGTCGACGGCGAGGGTGGGTTGGTAACCGACGGCAGATGGGATACGACCAAGAAGAGCAGACACTTCGGAACCGGCCTGGGTGAATCGGAAAATGTTGTCAATGAAGAGCAACACTGCGATGGTTAGCACGGTTCAAGAATCGTCTTGGAAATCACATACCATCTTGACCCTCTTCATCTCTGAAGTACTCAGCGATAGTAAGCTGGATTATAAACGTTAGCAAATGATGCTCTGATGATTCTGATGATCCTGATGATTCTGAAGTTTTTGAAGTTTTTGAAGTTTTTGAAATTTGTGATAATTCCGATGATGAAAGTATGAGAGACGTATAAATGGAAGGAGCGAAGGGAAGGAGGTTCTTACCCCAGTAAGAGCAACACGGGCACGGGCTCCCGGGGGCTCGTTCATCTGACCGAAGACCAGCGCGACCTTGGACTCGCCCTCAAGTTGAATGACTTGGGTCTCCTGCATTTCGTGGTACAGATCGTTACCCTCACGAGTACGCTCTCCGACACCAGTGAACACGGAGTAACCACCGTGAGCCTTGGCAATGTTGTTAATCAGCTCCTGAATGAACACAGTCTTTCCGACACCAGCACCTCCGAAGAGACCGATCTTTCCACCACGAGCGTATGGGGCGAGCAGGTCGACGACCTTGATACCGGTGACCAAGACCTCAGCAGCGGTGGATTGGTCAGTGAAGGCAGGGGCATCGGCGTGGATGGGGAGTCTCTTGGTGGCCTTGATGGGTCCACGCTCATCAATTGGGTCACCAGTAACGTTCATGATACGACCGAGGGTTCCTGGACCGACTGGCACCGTGATGGGGGCTCCAGTGTCGGTTGCACGGTGACCACGGACGAGACCTTCGGTACCTATTTGCAGCTCGCGTCAATTTCTGTCGCCGACGACGAGCCTGGAATGCTTACCATCCATAGCAATTGTTCGGACGACATTCTCTCCCAAATGTTGCTATTACGCTCGTCAGTTGCTGTGGGAGTATTGTTGTGGTTGGCATGTTGACATACCGCGACCTCAAGGATCAGCTTCTGGTCACCGTTCATGGTCTCGAGGGCATTGAGAATGGGAGGGAGCTTGTCGGTGTCGAATTTGACTAGTGCCATCCATCAGCTTCACGCTCCCATCGTCTTGAGGCCTCGCGGAGCATTTTTCGCGGCATCCGGAGCGTGACCGTCGTTGCCGGGAAGAATTTTCTGAACACTCACCGTCGACGACGGCACCAATAACTTGGTGAATCTTGCCATGGATGGCGCTGTCGCTCGCAAACCGAGCAGCAGAAGCTCTTAAACCAGTGGAGACAGCTGGTCTGAAGGCGCTCCGTGAAGCCCGGACGGCGGATTTTTGAAGGGCGCTGTGGCAGGGGCGTGGTCAGCTCAATTGGGCCATTGCAAGCTCGAGGAGGGCGGGAAGCTGGAGCCAAGGACAGATACATACCTCCTGAACATCCTGAGAGATGAAGAAGAGCGATGGAGATGGGAGTGGAGATAGGAGAGGTTGATGGGGGAGAGAATCTATGGAAAATGAGGTCTCTCGGCAAAGAGCTTGACAAGTAGATGGCCATTGGCGCTAGCAGCGCACGTGATCGACATCCGAGAAGGCCCGAGAAGTTTGCTAATAAACGAGCACAAGAATACGGAGTAAATATGAGATATAATTAATTTGGGTGAATTTGTTGAGGCCCGATTTGTATAACTGATATCAGAATTATAAGATGGTGCCGTCTTATGTGGAAGAGGAGATATGTGGTATTTGATTCCTGTTCTCTCTCTCATGCTCACGTCCTAAGACTCAAGACTTGGGCCATAACCCTGTCATCTTCACATCTCCCGCCTTTCCGGAAGGCCGCCGACGATTGGTGGGCGTCCTCGAAACATTGGTGGTACTTTCACATACATATACATTCACAAAAGCCTTCTCTACCTCGTCGTACGAAACAAATTCATATCATTCATCGTTGCCAGTGCTAATGCTAATAATGCTGCTATTCTAATAACCATCATGAAAGTCATGCACGCCTGTCCCCCTGTCAATAATATCGATCCCTTCAAAGCGTCGACTCAAGAGCGAGAACCTAAGCAAGTCAGTATCTCCCTTTCAACCCTGCGCAGAGCGTCTCGACTTACAATCGCAGTCCTGGTCGGGATATACACCTGCGTGAAGTTCTTCCGCCCGTTCCACTCCAATGGCGTCGTGAAGAATCTCGTCCCGGCGTCGATTCGCTCAAAACCGCCATATTCCTTACTATCTGTGTTCAACACCACCCTATACGTACCGCTCTGTTCGACCCCCACCCGATAATCCGGGAAGCTCTTGGTCGGGTGGAAGTTGAAGATCCAGAGCAGTCTGGCACGCTCAAAGACAATTACCTTATCAGCCTCGTTCTTCAAACTGATGTAAGCCTGTTCAGAATGCAGCCATCCGTATTTCTCCTCGGTGCGTTGCATCTTGGCGTCAAATTCATTGAGGAACTTGTAGCGGAGGAGGCCATCGTCAGTCAGGTTGAATTGACGGCGCGCGTACCAAAAACTATTGTTATTACCTGCACGGGGGAAGTCGAGCCATTCCGGATGGCCGAATTCGTTACCTTCAAAGTTCAAGTAGCCCTCGCCGCCGAGGCCATGTGTTAAGAGTCGGATCATTTTATGGAGGGACATGCCTCGCTCGATGATGGGGGTTAGTTCCGTCAGGGTGGACATGTTGGTATACATTTGTGCATCACAGAGATGCATCATAATGGATTTGTCCCCGACCAGGCTGGATGGAACATGTTAGCAGCGAAGCTTCTTGGCGGCCAAAACGAATTCTTACGCTTGGTCGTGACTCTCGCAGTAGGCAATCGTCTTCTCCCCATGACGTCGATTCGTCAATGTGAATGTAATATTGCCCATGTCCCAGTCATCGTCCTTCTTCTCCTTTAGGATCTTGATCCACATATCCGGAATTGCCATTGCTAGTCGGTAGTCGAACCCGACACCTCCGAGTGCAAGGGGTAGACACAAAGCCGGCATGCCAGAGACATCTTCCGCGATGGTTATGGTCTCCGGATACAGCTGGTGCAACATCTCATTCGCAAGCATCAAATAGACCACGCCATCCTCATCAACGCTCGGACCAAAATACTCATGGTATCCACCGGAAAACCCCCTAGGATTATCAGCAATGTCCCAGCAACCGGAAGACGCAACTTACGTTCCAATTCCATGATGGGTATAAAGCATACTTGTAACACCGTCAAATCGAAATCCATCAAAACAATACTCATCCATCCAGAACCTCAAATTGCTTAAAAGAAATCTCAGAACTTCATGACTTCCATAGTTGAATAATCTGCTGTCCCACAACTCATGCTTGCCTTTCGGCCCGTCGTGAAAATAGCAGTTATCGGAGCCATCGAACTCGTTTAAGCCATCTAGGACGTTCTTTGAGGCGTGACTGTGAACCACGTCCAAGAGTACGACAATCCCGAGCCCATGGGCTGTGTCAATGAGCTCCTTCAATTCGTCTGGCGTACCATATCGACTGCTTGCTGCAAAGAAGCTGTTGACCTGGTAGCCGAAGCTTGCATAGTATGCGTGCTCCATGATAGCCATAAGCTGGATGACATTATATCCCAGATGGTGTATCCTCGGGAGCATGTTCTTTGTGAACTCCTTGTATGTAGACACTCTCAACTCGGGAGATGAGATCCCAACGTGTGCTTCGTATACCCTGGCGCTCTCGGGCTTCTTTGGTCTTGGGTGTTTGAAGACATATCGTTCGGAGGGGGGAGGGTTCCAGAATCGACCATCGTAGACAGGAGACACGGAAAGGTCTTGGGTAACGTACTTGATCCATGCCGGTATGCGTTCGATTCGTTCACCGGATGGTGTGATCATGGAGATCTGACCAGTCATCAGCGAGAGAGCGCCGTGGCCAAGATGGAATTGCTTACCTTGATCTTGGAATTGTGCGCAATAGCAGGCTGTCCATCTCTCGCAGGTAGCACAACCTCGAAGACCCCAAATGGGTCCTTCTTCATAGGATGTGACTCCCGGTTCCAATCATCTACCACCGATCAGTTCTCTGTCGCCAAAGGATGTCGACGAGGAGGGAGAGAAATACTGAATTCACCAATAAGGAATGCCTGTGTTGCATTTGGCGCCCACTCCCTGTATGTGATGTTGTTCTGGGCGTCCACGTTGAAGCCGAATCTCTCTGTGCCCTGCGCTGCGAATCAGTCTGGGCCCATTCCACCTTGCGAGGGCCACCAACCCTGCTGAACTTCTCTAACCCACCCTCAGTCTCATTGATTGTGGCAATCCAGTCCTGTGCCTTCTTGTATCTGTGTCGGAGAGATTCTTTGAAAGGAGAGAGCCACGGATCAAGCTTGATAACGCCTGAAGCTGTCAGCTGTGCCGGCTTGGGTGGTGTTGTGAACTTACCTGTGCCGTCGTTTGGCAACTCCTCTATAGCACTAGTCGTAGCCGTACTGGCTGATTCCTGCTTGACGTTTGCCATCTCTGCGAGTGTATTTCGTCGTTATTCCTCTGATTGTGTGCTGCAGATAGGAGAGAGGCTGGCACGTTCTGTAGATGCTGCGCCGGGGAAACGAGGCGGAGCTGGAGCTATTCTCCGCACATGGGTGGTTGGGAGTCGGCGGACAGAGAGATATTTCGTAGTCGGCGTCGGCAGAGGAGAAGAGAAATGTTGCGAGGAGAGACAAAGGGATTTGCCTCTGCGAAGTTGATCTGCAGCTTTGTACTGTTGTGAGGGGCTGTTGACTCTTGTTGACTCCCGCCAAATGACGTCCTCCCCTGCCAAGGATGGATGTATAGATTCCGTATATAGATATTCCCCGTAGGCGAGATGCATGGTGGACCCGAGTTGTGCGGTCAATTCCTGTATTATACCACAGATCACACCTCTTCTCGCAAGAAGATCAATCTACATTTATATCTATATCTATATTCATCTTTATGTATTCAAGTCTTTCTACAATCGAGACATGTTGACTTCCCCAGAGCTCCACAATCTTAGCCTCGCGGCCCTCGCCTAGATATCCGAAGCTCACGTCTCTCCCCCGCAATCAAATCGTCCGCTGTGAGCTCCCTCCCATCCCACCTTGAGTCCTTGGAGTCTGGATATTCAATATCAGGTCTCAAAACCCTCATCTCAAACCCAGAGGCTGATGCAGTTATGAGCCTTCTCCCCAGCTCTCATAATGCCGGCAATCTCCCGGTCCATCCGCCTCCCCTCCCCGTCCAAACAGCTGCTCATCCAGCTCTCTCTCTCGCGCCACCTCTCCTCCACCGCATCGCTCCGCTCGCCCCGAGACACCCAGACATGGCGCTCTGATTTCTCCCAGGGCTATACTGGCTCCTATGAGCCTGGAGCTCCTACTGTTGGCCCTCTGGCCCAGACTTCCGAGCTTGGAGTGCCGCGACTCACACCCTCGATGCTGAAGGAACATCTGGATAAGTTCGTCGTGGGACAGGACAAGGCCAAGAAGGTCACCAGTGTGGCGATATATAACCATTATCAACGGACTAGGGAGCTCCGACGACAAGAGGCAGAAGAGGCAGAAAGACGAGCACAGAGAGAGAGACGTTTATTAGCTGAGAGAGAACGGGACAGCCACCCCGTTGAAAGTAAAGACTCCCCCCTTTTTCTCCCTTTCCCCCTTTCCCATAGACATCACATGACCCCCTCACCCTATCCAGTCCTGGCTAACAAGAACATAGATGAATTCCCCGGGCACGTCGAGACCGTCGACCTCAACTACCGCCCCCCAGATCCCCTCCCCGACGAGGAACCCGAGCTAGGATCCGTCCCCCTCTCCACGCACCTCTCGGACGAGACTATCATCGAGAAGTCGAACCTGCTCCTCCTCGGCCCCTCAGGAGTCGGAAAGACGTACATCCTATCGACGCTCGCCCGCGTCCTCGAGGTGCCCTTCGCCACGGTCGACTGCTCGGCGCTGACGCAAGCCGGCTACATCGGGACCGACATCGAGTCCTCGATCGAGCGGCTGCTGCTCGCGAGCGGCAACTCGGTGTCCAAGTGCGAGACGGGCATCATCTTCTTCGACGAGGTCGACAAGCTCGCCAAGCCGGCCGTCATGACGCACGGGCGCGACGTGAGCGGCGAGGGCGTGCAGCAGGGCCTCTTGAAGATGATCGAAGGCACGACCGTCACCGTGACGTCGAAATCCGACCGCAGCTCCCGCAACGAGCCGACGTCCTCCTCGTCCTCCCGCGGCCTGGACCGCATGGAGCGTGGGGGTCGTGGCAGCGGCGGCCAGCAGCCCGGAAAAGCAGAGCAATACACCATCGACACATCCAACATCCTCTTCGTCTTCGCCGGGGCCTTTGTTGGGCTCGAGAAGATCATCAACTCGCGCCTCTCCTCGGGCTCCTCGATCGGATTCGGCGCCTCCCTCAAGAACCCGCCGCAGAAATCCGCCGGCCCCGCCCCTAACCCCCTCGACTCCATCATCCCCAGCGATCTCCAAAACTACGGCCTGATCCCCGAGCTCCTGGGCCGCATCCCCATCATCACGGCGCTCCACCCGCTCACGCTCCCGCACCTCGTCTCCATCCTCACGGAGCCGCGCAACTCCCTCGTCAAGCAATACACGGCGCTGTTCAAGACGTACGGCATCCAGCTGCGCTTCTCGACGCCCGCCCTGCACGCCATCGCGGCGCGCGCCCTCGCCCCGTCGACGTCCCACCCCGATACGCAGAGCACGGGCATTGGCGCCCGCGGCCTGCGAGCTATCATGGAGAGCGTCCTGGCCGAGATCATGTTCTGGGGTCCTGGCTCGGCTATCAAGTTTTGTCTTGTGGACGAGGCGTTTGTTAATGCTACTCTCTCATCATCCCCCCATTCTTCCTCCTCCTCCTCTTCACCCCAATCCTCATCAACCCAAGACAGCGATATTCAAGACAAAGACTCCAAACCCCTAATGCCACCCTGCTGGAGCAGAGGTCAGAACCGACTATTTGAAGAAGCATGGGAAGCCGAAGAAGAGCGCTGGAGAAGGAGACATGATAATGAGAAGCAGGGGCAGGTAGATGAAATACAGAGTTTTGAGAGGTTGAGGGAGGCGGGTAGATCGGGTATGTAGTAGAGCGCGTTTTTTGGCTTTAGGGGGGGGGGGGGAGTTTTGGGGTTAGATTTTGATATTATATGTTTTGATTGGGATTATGAGTGTTATTGTTGTTATGATGTGGTTTGTTGTGTGAATGAATGAATGGATAGATTGGTTGTGATTGGATTGATTGCTAGAGGGAAGGGGAGGGAAGGGGAGACATATATCATATCATATCAGATACGCACGAAATACAGCATATCTTCTTACCTTCCATCACAACAAAACAGCGAGACAATATTCTGATTATAAGTTTCAGGAGGAAAAAAGAAAAAAGATTCATCCCTTCTACAACGACGGACACACCATATATATCTTTGTACAGAATAATTTCTCCCTTCCCCGTCTTCCCCTTCTCCTCCCCCCTTTCCACTTCCCCTTCACCCGAGATCATCTTCTTCTACTTATATGCAACATGCAACATGCAAACATGCGCCCCCTTCACCACATCAGCAACCAACAAACGAAAGCACGGCCTTTTTATGTTCCAGACAGAGAAGGGAGAGTAGTGCGCCGAGGGCTTTATTTCTTGGCCGGTGGGCTCTGGACGTGGCCGGGGCCTTTGTAGCCCTCGGACGAGATACCGGTGAGGGGTTCGGAGTTTTGAGCCTGTGGATTAAGTGTTAGTCCATGTCCGCTTCTTCTCTATCATCCCCCAATCCATTCCAATCCATCATCTTCCACGCATGGGGATATAACGCACCCTGAGATACTCGTTGGTAGCTTCCTGGTACTCCTTGGTCATGGTGCCAGGCGAGGGGCGGGCACCGGCGCGGATACCGCTGAAGATCAGAAGAGAGGCGAGCAGGCCAACTCCGGTGTATGCGAAGATCCTCCAGCCCTCTCCTGGGGGAGGTTGGGCTCTGGGACCGTGAGGACCAAAAGCGATGTAGTAAGCTGTTGTGACCTAGTCAGCACACGCCAATCCCACAACTTTCAATTACCCTCTGAACTCATCCCAAAGACATCCTAGACACGAAAGAGAAAGAGAAGAAGAATGATAGGAAGGTGGCGGATGCGTGATGGGGGGGAGGGGATGTTGATGGAGAGCAACGCAACGCAACGCAACGTAACGCACCAGCTTTCTTCTCCTGCAGTGTCAACTCGGCCCAGTTGGACTTCATGCGGTCGCGGAGCGCCATCCACAGATCAGCCTGCTCCTGCGGCGGCATGGCCTCCCATCTCTTCTCGATATCGATCAGGGTCGGGTTCGAGATGGCGTGAGCCTGTCTCGTCTGGGTACGAGCAACAACTCTCGAGGAGCTGCGCAGAGCCTGGCGGATCATCGACATCGTGGGCGTGTGGGCGCGGATTGACAAAGGGGAGGATGAGAGCAATCTCTTGTCAATTGGGCAGAGGAGGCCAATTGGGGACGCGGGGACGGTCGGATTGGCGTGTGGTTTTTATGAAGAGGTGAAGAATCGAATGATACAAGGAGTTCGGATGGTAGCGGAAATCGTGAGTATATTTCTCGCTTATCCTGTTTGGGGGGGAGCTGGCGGGTCACGTGCGATAGGTTATTCTGGACCGTGGAGGAAAGGAAGTGACGTCTGGATCGCGCGATGTTTTGTGATTGTTTATTTTTGGCTATTTGCTTTGGTGTTTATGGTTCTGGTGGTCAGGATAGAGGGAGTTGAAGAGCTCATGGCATGTCGTATGAATCAATTGAGTATCAATCATATATAAATATACCTTTATTTTCTTTTTGCTTCTGTCAGGCGTTGCTTATTTACCTCTCCTCTCAGTGGTTTGTTCCCCTCGGGAGGATCACCGTCATGTCACTACCTGGTAGGTTCAATTCCCGAGGTGAGGACAGTACGTATCTTACTTAGCGACCACGCTTTTGATCATTGGCAGTCCTTGATGGATGTCTTTAGAAGCTCGGTTGTTAGGAAAGTCGAGGATTGCTGTCAATTGAGTCGATTGAACTGCCCTTCTCTTGAGAGGAGCAGGGGGTACCTTGGACAGGGAACAGAGCTCGAGCAGGGAGCGGCATGTTTCACGTGATATGATGCGCAACCTCTGCTGCGATATTCGGCATTGCTTGTTACCTACAGTACCTACTGAACGGACATTCCATCCTTGAGAGGCCATACCTAAAGGGAGAAGAAACAGAAGAGATAGTTCCCAGCGTGATCACGTGATATCAAACACATTCCAAAGCAGTCAAGACATGTGTCTCTATAGATATCTCAAAGAGCCCAACATGTCCTAATAATCCTCCAGAGCTCTCCTCTCTCTTTCCCTTCCCTCTCCCTTCCCTCCCCCATCTTCCAAACATCCCACGATCAAGCCAATCTCACTCGGTCACGCCCCCTGCGTGGGGCGGAGTCGTGAGGAAAGAAAAACCGAGCAATCGGCCGGGAAACGGAGATACGATCATACGAGACTGGTCAAGCCTCTGTGAAAAAAACGGAGAAAAAACAGGGTGGAAAAGCCATGCCCCCAAGTATGAAGCACACCAGAGGGGAGGAAGTTGAATCGAAAAGAGAGACAAAAAGAGACAGGAAGCATCACGATATGCGCACGACAATAATGCGGATAAGCAGACAGCCGCATTGTCCCCGCTCATTATCGTGCTCGTCCTGCTTTCCCTCGAGCCGCAGCACCGAAACATCCCGAAGTCATTCCTGGGGCACCCGGGGAGCACGGGACACGGCGAGCGCGGCTCGTGAAGGTCCGGCGGGTGGATGCCTGAGGCTGCCAGGTTTCGGATATTGCCATACCTTACCTACCTACCCAGTGATGATGATGGTGGTCATCATGGCAAACGATGCTGATGATGATGATAATAAATAAGAAAAGATGAGTAAAAATAGTAAAAATAGAATAAGCAATCAAGTATTGAGAAATAGAATCAGATAAAAAAAACAAAAACAAATACAGTACAATACATCCAAAAAAGAAACAAACCTCACCCCCCCCCCCCAGCCCTGCCCCTCCCCTCCCATGCCCCTCCTTAGTGCCCCTCGAGGCCCAACGAACGACCAGACGCCAAACACCCCACCACAATATAAGGACCTCCGCCCTGCCCTCCCCTCCCTCCCTCTACATCCCCCTCCTCATCTGCTTCATCCGCAAAACTTCCCATCTTCTCTTGCTTTTTAATACCCAAGAACCCCCTCTCGACATGTGAGTTGCTCTTCTCTTGAAGTCGTCCATCTATCTCCCTCCCGTCGATGCATTCGCTTTCTTCCCTCTCTTCCCGCCCGATGACGCCAAGCAGAAAGCCCTCAGCCAGCTCACCTCTCACCTCATCTCTTACCTCTCCCTTCTCCCCCCCATCTCGCTGACCTCTCCCACGCAGAACCATGGCTCCTACAAAGGTTGGAATCAACGGTTTCGGCCGCATTGGTCGTATCGTCTTCAGAAACGCCATTGAGCACAATGACATCGACATCGTCGCCGTCAACGACCCTTTCATTGAGCCCCACTACGCCGTAAGAGCCCATTCCCCCCCGCATACCGCCCCCACTACCATCGCCCATCAAAACAAAACAAACAAAACAAAAACAAATGATGGGCAAGAAAAAAAAGAAAAGAAGATCGAAAACTATATTTATCACCAATGCTAACACCTCGCTCTCCCCTCACAGGCATACATGCTCAAGTATGACTCCACCCACGGCCAATTCAAGGGCGACATCAAGGCCACCGCCACCGGCCTCGAGGTCAATGGCAAGACCGTCCGATTCTACGCGGAGCGGGACCCCGCCAACATCCCCTGGGCGGAGACCGGTGCCTACTACATCGTCGAGTCCACCGGTGTCTTCACCACCACCGACAAGGCCAAGGCTCACTTGAAGGGCGGAGCCAAGAAGGTTGTCATCTCCGCTCCCTCCGCTGATGCCCCCATGTACGTGATGGGTGTCAACGAGAAGACCTACAAGTCCGACGTCGAGGTCATCTCCAACGCCTCCTGCACCACCAACTGCCTTGCTCCCCTCGCCAAGGTCATCCACGACGAGTTCACCATCATCGAGGGTCTCATGACCACCATCCACTCCTACACCGCCACCCAGAAGACCGTCGACGGTCCCTCCGCCAAGGACTGGCGTGGAGGCCGTACCGCCGCCCAGAACATCATCCCCTCCAGCACTGGTGCCGCCAAGGCTGTCGGAAAGGTCATCCCCGACCTCAACGGCAAGCTTACTGGAATGTCCATGCGTGTGCCAACCTCCAACGTCTCCGTTGTTGACCTGACCTGCCGCATTGAGAAGGGAGCCACCTACGATGAGATCAAGGCTGCCATCAAGAAGGCTTCCGAGGGTCCCCTCAAGGGTATGTATTTTTCTCTTTCTCTATATATCTCTAGTAGGGAATCTGGCGCTGATCGTAAGCAGGCATCCTTGCCTACACCGAGGATGAGGTTGTCTCCTCCGACTTGAACGGCGACACCCACTCCTCCATCTTCGATGCCAAGGCTGGTATCTCCCTCAACAAGAACTTCGTCAAGCTGGTCTCCTGGTACGATAACGGTGAGTCGATTTAAAACTCTTCCCAATTATGCATTTACTAACTCCCAATCCTCTACAGAGTGGGGATACTCCCGCCGTGTCCTCGACCTCCTCAGCTACATTGCCAAGGTTGATGCTGGATCCAAGTAGGGAATTACCTCGTTGGGTCATGCAAGCAGTTTCTGATTTGCTATTCTCTGCCAGTGGGATGCTGAAAGGACGGCTCTAAGGGAAGGCAGATCAGAATCGTAGAAGTGCGAAAATGCGGGTTCGTTTTTAGGCGTGAAAGCCTATCTTGATACGAAATAGCTGATGAATAGAAGTCCTGCCCCGAAGAGTTTTTCCTGATGAGTGATTTTTGAACTGTGATATGTGTATCTTTATCCATGAAAATCATCTGGACCTAGTGAGGCATGCCTTATCATATCTGGTGCATTTTCAAACAAGGACCAGCGAGGGAAACCTGATTTGGCCACCTTGCCACTGCCTTTGGGCCTAGCTTTATACCAAACCCAATTCAAAACTGACAGCTTTCAAATGTTTTTGACCAAGTAATTTCTATCAATGTCATGCTCTTTGTAAAACCAGAGGATGATGGTTCGAGCATCCCGAAATGTACTAGCGGCTGAATACCGAGGCGACCTGGGTCTGCCGCGCAAATCGCGTACTCCCTTTCCTCCGGTCTACCTACCTAGGTACCTTACCCTCCAACCCCCTCCAACCCAGCATGCTCAAAAGCCTCTAGAATGACTTGGAAATAATACTTGTCTGTTGCTGTGTTAATGGTGTCTGAGTTAACACAGGGGACTTTCTAGCTGCCATTTAACCCCTACGACGACTTATCAACCTTTGGGTGAGTTGGAACTTCCCGTCCTCGTCTATACCTTGCAACTGCTTGTTAAACGAGTTCTCCCTTTCACGCTCCAAAGTACGAGTGGCTATGGAAAGCGAAGAGCTATCGAGCAAAAGCCCAAGAGGGATCAAGTTTGGCTGTTGACAAGGTCAAGTTGCCTGCTCTATTTGGCCACGTGATGAAACGCTTTTACCTTGCTCTTGATATCTGCACTGTATTGTTCCCTCCCTTACATCATCTCCTCTTTACAGGCATGCATTCAACCACATCTATACACTAGTTGAAATTTGGGTGGTTCATACTTTGTACATTTGTTGTGACTGGGTTGAACGTGGAGCGTGTTTATTTCACCCCGGAAACCAGCGGACTTCTCGTTGCTTTCCGCCGCCTGTTTTTCTCATCAGCGGTGAATCAAGAGACGGTCTCCTTACTGGCTTTCTTCTCCGTCTTTTGCAAATCAAGCAGCAGAGGCAGCTCTCCATTCCTCTCCTTTATCGCTGCGGTGGGGCGACATTGCGTGCGTTGCTCCTTTCATCTCCAGGCGCGTGTCGAATCTGGGTTTCTTCAATAGCCTTTCTTTACTTTCCTTGCTCTTGCCTTCTGAGATGAATACGTAGAGGGCAGGGTTGCTAACTTCGTACCAGTGTCCTGTGTCTCGGGCAGCCAAAGCGACCTTTTCCTTTCCTTGCGGTTCTCGTCGACCTCGCCTCTCTAATCTTGAATGTTTTGATACCGAGTCAGGATCGCCAAGCTCTTTCTTCCCCATCCCCTTCTAGCAGAGACAGCGGTCAACTCTTCCCACCTCCCTCGCTTTGGCATCCAGCTTGACCAACGTATCACTCCAGCCTCCCATGGATCCTACCCTTTCAGTCACGCTTCTGCAGAGCAGCGATGGTGACACCATCATGCAGAACAACTCTCACTCTACTAATGAGAACCACGAAAACGGCTTCGTAGATCCTCGAGTCTTAAATCAAATCCACGACCACGACCTCGACCTCCCTGACTCCACACAAGAGGACTCACTCGAACAATCACAAACCTCCTCCGGTAGCTCGTCGCCACCTACCGCACGAAAAGCCTTCCTTCCTACGGGATGCTGTTACGATGACCGCATGAAACTGCATGCTAATGCCGACTGGTCTGCCAATCCACATCACCCCGAAGACCCTCGTCGTATTGAGGCTATTATGAAAGCTTTCAAAGATGCAGGCCTCGTCTACACTGGACCCACATCTGAGCTCACCCAGCAGCTCAAGATCTCTCCAACTAGATGGATGTGGCGGATCGCAGCGCGAGAAGCAACCCCGGAGGAGATCTGTCTCGCACATGCCGCTTCTCATTATGAATGGGTCCGCGGACTGTCCTTGAAATCCGCTGCCGAGTTACGCCGAATGACGGTGGACATGGACGCGGGTCGGAAGTCCCTCTACGTTGGCACTCTCACCTACGAAGCTGCTCTGATCTCAGCGGGAGGAGCCATCGAGACATGTAAAAACGTAGTTGCAGGCTATGTGAAGAACGCCATTGCTGTCATTCGGCCGCCAGGCCATCACGCAGAACCCAACGAGGCCATGGGCTTCTGTGTCTTTAATAATGTTCCCATCGCTGCTAAGGTCTGTATGGCCGACTACCCCGAGGTATGTCGCAAGATCCTCATTCTGGACTGGGATGTCCATCACGGGAACGGCATCCAGAACATCTTCTATGAAGACCCGAACGTGCTCTACATATCTTTGCACGTCTACTCGGAAGGCTCTTTCTACCCCGGCCAACCCGAAGACCCAGGAATCCCGGATGGTGGGATGGAGAACTGCGGTGCTGGTCTCGGAGCAGGCCGCAATGTCAACATTGCATGGCATGACCAGGGAATGGGAGACGGCGAGTACATGGCCGCATTCCAGCGCATCGTGATGCCGATCGCCCAGGAATTCGACCCCGACTTCGTCATCATCTCGGCGGGTTTCGACGCTGCGGCCGGCGATGAGCTGGGAGGTTGCTTCGTCACACCTGCGTGCTACTCTCACATGACGCATATGCTGATGTCTCTCGCGAATGGCAAAGTCGCAGTCTGTCTCGAGGGCGGCTACAACCTGAGTGCCATCTCGAGATCAGCTTTGGCCGTGGCGAAGACACTGATGGGTGAGCCGCCCGAACGGATTGCCATCCCGCCGTTGAATAAGGAGGCGGCGCAGGTCCTCAACCGGGTCAGGCAGTACCAAGCCCCCTACTGGGAGTGTATGCGTCCGGGCGTCGTCCCAGTGAAGGAGATCGAAGAGCAAGGAGCTGTTCGTCTGCACGATGCACTCCGCACGTATCAGCGGCGCATCTTGACCCAGAAATACAAGATGGTGAGTCTGTATATCCTGCGGGAGCAGATCTCGCGGAGTTTTGAAGACCAGGTCCTGGCTACCCCGGGACTCCACAATGCGAAGAAGATCCTACTTATCATCCACGATTCGTAAGTCCTGCACCCATTACTCTATTTTCACAAATCTAATAAACAAAACAGCCCTGAGGTTCTAGCTGCTCCCGACCCAGTCGATAACAAAGTGTCCTCCCACAACGCCTGGATGGTAAGTCCCCGCCCCCCTTTTCTCAACAACAACACACTCCCTCTGACAACACCCCCCCACTAGACCGACAGCGTCCTCCCCTACATCGACCAAGCCATCTCCGCCGGCTACGGCATCCTCGACATCAACATCCCCGCGCACCTCAGCGCGCCCACACCAACCGCATCCTCCACGCCCCGACCCCTCGCCCCCACCTCCCCCCAAACCCCCTCCATCGAATCGCAAACGCGCGAACTCCTCTGCTACCTCTGGGACAACTACCTCTCGTACCACCCCTCCCTCACACTAATCCCCATCGGCATCGGCGACTCCTACATCGGCATAAAACAGCTCCTCCTCTCCCGCCCCTGCCGCACCGCAATCCCATGCATCCTCTCCTTCGTCTCCGGCTCCCTGCGCCCCATCCGTTCCGAAACCGACCCAGGACTCTCATCCTGGTATAAATCACACAGCCGTATCTACGTCTCCCCCGACCATGCGTGCTGGAGCGACGTAGACGCAGTGAAGAAAGTTAAAAAGAATCGTTTTGGTGGCGTGGTTAGGAGTGAGGTGGAAGGCACAAGGGCGATGTTGGATAGATATAGAGAGGAGGCGTTGATGTGGGTAGAGGGTATGGTTAAGGAGAGGTGGAGAGAGATGGGGAGGGGAGAGGATGGGGAGGAGTTGGGAGAGGGGGATGGGGAGGATGGGGATGAGACGGAGGAGGAGGTGGAGCAGGATAGGAGGTAGGTAGGATGGGTTGGGGGGATTGGGGGTTGGGATTGTTGGACTTGTAAGAATAGGTATGAGGGGGGTATGAATGAGTAGATAAATAAATGAGGATTATATTCACACACACAAAAGTCCAAGTATCCATATACAAAAAAAAGCCATTTATTCATTCATTCTACCTAAGGTATAGAAGAAGAAGAAGAAAAATAAACTAAACTACCTAGACTAGAACTACCCAGAAATCAAGCATCCTCATCCACATCCTCCTCAAACTCCTCCTCAGTATCCATATCCAAGCCGCCCACCGGTAATCTCCCCATCCTCTCCGCCTCAACCTCATCCCACGACCCCGTCACACTCGCATCATGCGCCCAGCGCGCGTGCACCCCCCAGTCACCGCCGCCGTTATCATCGGGCGGATCGATAACGCCCCACTCAATATCCTCATCAAAGATATTAGTATCTATATCGACGCCGTTCTGGCGCTGAAAATTAACGATAGCGATAGAATCGCGCAGGGTAGCGGGGGCATCGAGAAAGTGCTGCCCTTGTACTAAGAGATGGTCGAGGCGCTGGGATTTGGTGGTGGTGTTTTCGAAGAGGTGGAGGAGGTCTGAGGGGGAGTATTTCATGAGGTCCAGGACGAGCCGCTTGTGTTGCTCGCCTTCGCCCCAGCCCATGTTCGCGAGCGTCTTTGGGGGCACGGGTTGGGAGTACTGGGAGCGAATCATGGCGTTTGAGGGGTAGAGATCGACTTGGATGATTTGTTGCATCTTGTCGAGGAATTCGGTCAGTTGGATGAGCTGGATCGTGCTGTACGTGCGGAGGAGCCGGAGCCGCGGATCGTCACGACTGCGCGGGAGATCAGGGTCGTATTGGAGGAACACTTGGTCGTGGAACATGCTGTTGTATGTCCAGTACCGATAGATCGCCCCGCGGAGGCGCTCTTGTTCGTGCGGCCGGAGGAGACGCCGGTTGTTGGAGTTCTGGCGCCACCGGATCCGGGGGTAGACCTCCGTCCATCTATCTGCGACCTTGCCATACTGTACCATCTTGATGATCAGTTCGATCGTCATCCGTGGCAACTCGCGCGTCTCAATGATGCGGTTGACGGTAGCGTTACGGCGGATCTCTGTGCTAAGAAGCTTGCGGCTCTTATCGGGCTCGTTGGCTATGACCAGCTTCACCAATTCCGGGAGTGGGCTGTATGAATTGTACATGGCCGTCTCCAATATGGGCATCCGCCGGCCTAAGAAAGCCCTGTAATTCCTCTTGGAAGTCTGTGCGAGATGGAGGACATCTTGAACAGTAGCGTATTCGTAGATCTTCTGCAAGATCTCCGTGGATAGTTGGGTGATCGACATCGTGGATTATGGTTTCTGGGTATATCTTGGTTGGGTTCCTTCTATATCTGCCATAATAGTCAGCAAGGTATGACCCACGACAGAGACCAGGGAAGACTCACTCTTCTATGTCTATCTCTAGCTTCTTGCTTCACCTCCTGAACTTGCTCTGCCAATCGTATTGGCCTACTATCACTCCGAGACTACCGTCTCAACCTCCCCACGCAACCCAAACACCCTCACAAGAAATGAAGATATATCGCTCAAATCGACAGGAAACGCTATAAAGCGTGGGACCGTGATGATAGCTGTGTGAACAACCACCAACGGCGCGGGACTTCGGAGACTTAACTGGCGGACACCCCGCCATTGGGGCTATAGGAAAGACCGGACCAGAAGACATCTCTCGACGTTCTGCTGCTCAAGAATGCCAGCCGCATGGGACTGGAAAGCTGCGATTCCGTCATGATTGTTGTGGTTGCAGGAGAAAGGAGAGCTGCGAACGCGCGCGAGCTTCACATAGCTCCTAAGCGAGGACGATCGGTCCGACCTTTCTTCCGGGACGTGTGATTTTAACCGGGAGAATGCGAAACGGCTGGATGCCTATGACACTCTCCATTCCGGAGCTGCATCAACCCGCCTCGAGAAGGTCGGCGATGGAGCACCGCGCGGATCGATGTGCGCAGTGGACCAAGGGGGAGAATGGAGACGCCATGCATCCACGCACCCAGGCCTCGCCGGATCAACGAACAGTGAGGAGGCCTCGATCTGCCGGTGCGGTGAGGAAACAGAGTTGATGTGGGATTCGAATATATGATTCTTGGGGTTAGGGTTACGATGATGCATGCGATTGGTGGACTGGGAGAGGATGGAGAGATGCTTTTACAACAAATTGAGGAAGATCTGGAAGAGAGCGGAGACATCACCGTTGCGACGAGATGCGCGGCCAGTCGAATTGGACACAATGAACCTCAATCAATCAGACCCTTTGCGTCTACGGCGTACTTCGTACAATTCAGCAGTCTCGAATACTCCCGTTATGGATACAAAGCTCGTGTCTTTTGAGAAGGTTGCCGCTGGCAGCGTTGCCAAAAAGCTGATGCGGGGAAGGGGGAATGAATGGTGGGACTCGTCTCTTTGTCTCCCACCGCTTTCTAGAAATGCCTTCATCAGGCTCAATATTGATCTCTTCTATTGTGTTTCTTATGATGGCGTTGGATGGGCAATGTGCTGGCTTGCAAGTTGCACCCTGCAGACGGCCGGGCACGTTCTGCAATACTGGAAGTAGCATACCTGGGACGAACAACGCTATCGAAGTATGGCAACCATCGACTTTTCCTTCATTTCCGCTATTAGCACTGTTCGAAACGACATCGGGCGAAAGTATTCAAATCAGATTCTCTAGATGAAGAGACCAAGTTGCCATCTATGTGCTCTGGGACCTGGCACATAGGATATATTGGACCCGCTGAGGCAAAGCCTTTCCTTGCCTGGCTAAATGGGTAGAGGCGCTGATGTGATGGTGAGATGGATGATTATCCTTCTGGCGCGATTCCTCATGCCTTTGACGGGCGCAAGAGAAAGCGATGATGACACCGTTTTGACCTTTTCCTCATATGATACCGACAGCTTCAATATCCGTCCTTTTCCAACGGAGGTATCGGCTGATACACGGTCCACTGGAGCACCAGCATGATGAGCGGAGATTTTAGGGACATCTAAATGAACGGCCTAAATACTGAATCCGGCGTTACGGGCTTACAGCATCTCATATATTATATGAACAGCAACAAGTTTGACTACTATCACAGGTCCCAAGCCAAACTTGAAAAGAAGGAATTAGGGTGTAAGGGGTGTCAGAGGGTCAATATCAGGATCCTCCCTCTCGGGCACCTCCTTACAAATTCCTGTGGATTGCTGGCTTGATTGAGCTATTAGAAGAGTATATCCTTCAATCAACAGTGGACCGAATACCTGACAAAAAAGGGAGAGTTCAATCCTACTCGCGCTTGTTGGACTCACTTTGCGGATAAGCCAGAGCTATTTTGGGCATCAACAGTCTGTATTATCCCCTTACTCTATTACTAGTATAGTGACTCATATGGTTATAATATAGAGGCATGGAGCTCCTGAACTGTCTAAACTGGCCCTCGATCTATACCTTACCACTGCTAATAGCGTACCCTCTGAGCGCTCCTTTTCGACTATGAACTTCCTTCAATCCAAGCTACGGAACCGACTTAGTGTTGATACTATTGATCGGCTTGTCTCTATATACATGAATATGCGTGCTTTACGGACTTCTACAGGTGGAACAAGTGGGGATTCCGAGCTGTGGGAGGAGCAATTAGGGGATATACTGTTGAATATAGAGGATGAGTTGATTAGGAGTGAGGATACTGGCGATATCGATAGCGACGACGGTATATTCGACTACTATATGCGTTACTATATGGGTTCGAGGGAAAACATCTCCCCCTTAAGGAGCGGCATTTTTGGAATACAACAGCTGCTACACTTATTAAAAGGACCTTAAAACACTCCTTCGAGTGCCTGCTTCGACTTCTATCGTTGTACGATAGCGCACCTACCGGTGCCCCCGGGGGAACCTACCGGGGATGGTCGAAATGGGCCAGAAGGACCTAGAATCCACCCCGGCCGACAACTGCTCAATATCACTACAGAGATATACAAAGTGATATCGCAGGCCGATAGGCAGGCCTCTAGCGCCGGACGCTCCCCGGCGATGCTGAATATAAAAAAGTTAGTCGACGAGATTGAACGCGTCGCGAAAACTCTGTACGCGAGCGACAACGACACCGTGGCCCCGGAGTAGGCCTAACAGATAGCATCCTTAATCAAAAACCTCGAAACCAAGGTTACAAACCTTAGCACGCAAAACCGACTGTCATACGTGGCGATGGCCGGAGGGGGAGCACCCTAAGCCTACCTAGTGACCGGTGGCCCCTCGACTCAGGCATTCGGATACAAGGACGTCACAGAGATCGAACAGAGAATTAGGGTCAAGCTGTCTGTAGAGGATGCGGAGAAGTTTAGAAACATTGATTACAAGACAATTAAGGACAGGATCAATGCGGCCCTCCTAGGCGCCCTGGTACAGGCGGTGCATAGACACGGAAATAGGAGTTACACACTATACACAAAGGACGCAGAAGGGATAAAGCGTATGTAGAAAGATCAGGCTTGGGCGACTTCAATCTTTAACGGGGCGGAGGTGTTCCGGACCGCGCTCCCGATCATAGTCCACAACGTCGAAGTCAAGAGGGCTCCCCGGAGATGCTGAGCATCAAGAAATTGGTAGATCGAATTGAGCGCATCGCGGAAAATTTGCAACCGACCAATATTATAACAAGATGTACACAGATCTTGGTAGCATTTATGCGATAGGTGCAATCTTGAACCTGAAGCTGAAATCAGAGACTTTTAATCCTGACTATTGTTGGCTTGATTTTAAAGTAGGTGGCAAGGACTACCGGCACGTGTCCGAAATAAGATCATCCGACGCCAGGAGATCAAGATCGCGAGGCTGGAGACAATGGACTTTGGGAAGATATCAAGGGCCGTCCTGGACAAGTCTTGACAAAGACGTTCGCCGCTACGTTTCTACATGTGCAATCTGCCAGAGAACAAAGTCGAGGACGCACTTACCTTGCGGCGAGTTGGCCCCTCTTCCTATTCCTACTGAACCTTGGCGAGAAATCTCAAGTCGGGCGTGAACTGTGGGAGGAACAGTTAGAGGATATACTGTTGAATATAGAGGACGAGGGGGTTAGACAAGAGCTGGATAACAGGGATAACTCGCTGCGATCGAGAGGGGAGAGGCCCCCTCGATGAATCCTTTTGAATTCGACGATGCTTTTGAAGCAGACCGTCCCTTCTAGCGAACCCGAATCGAAGAGACTAGGAAGAGTCATCGCAACACACCTGCAATTCTGTTAAAGGACGAAACGTACTCAAGCATCACCACCTTCATATTCGACTAGGAGACGGAATTTGTCACATATTCGGACGCCTACCCAATTAATGCCAAACGAGTCGGCGCCGTTGCGGCGGTACTGAAGAATCAAGTCAAGGACAGGTGGAAGGCATACATCTTTTCCACAAAGAACGGATCGGTCCTCAATGTAACTTGGGCTCAACAAATCAATTGAGTACCCTGGGTATGAGTCACAAACAACAACAGCTGTATCAACAGTTGAATCAACAGCCGTATCAGCTGCCTTTCCAGCAAACTCTCACCTGCCAAAGCCACCATCAAAAGCGTCAGTTAAGCTCTGGCACAAACGGATGGGCCACTTACGGATAGAGGCAATCCAACGTCTGGCAGGCAGTGCCAATGGGGTTGAACTGGTCTGGTACCAAAGGACCGGTATCCAATCCCACCCTGTAAGGTTTGCCACCTTAGCAACGCCAAACAGATCATCTCAAGAGCTCCTGTTAAACGTACTACCAAACCGTTTGCCAGGATCCACCTGGACCTCATCCAAATGCATCCAACTGACGCAGAAGAGATATATATCCTACACATGGGAAGAGATGAAGGCGTGGCTCCTCTTGGGTATCGCGGATGAGGGATGACGATATTGATGTATATACGGGTTAAACAGGTAGCTATAATAGGTGTTATTCAAGGCGAATACAGTGGCTATAACTGCTGCTATTTGAGTTGGATCAAGTGGTTATAACTGGTGCTATAACTCTAAATAGAGCGATAGCTCTCACAGTACCTAGTAAGGGTATTCAATAGAGAATGAATTTACAACTACTACTACTACTACTATATGGGTTCAATTCGACTACTACCTAAGTGTAACGCACACGACATAAAGTAGTAATAGCTCTCATAGTACCTAGTAAGGGTAATCAGTAGAGAATGAATTTACTACTATGCCCAGGCGCTGCCTTCAACTGTCCGGGAAAAAAAAAGCAATTGAAAAAAAAGATTTCTGATTCAATGCTTGAAGTGTAGAATGGCTTACCCTCTCAACTCTATCTTGAAGTAGTTGCTGACAACTCAAAGAACGCGGAGTCAAAATTAATTGTTCCCGAATTGCTTTCTGATACACGCCGAAGGGGGCTATTTAGTTTAGTAGTTTGAGGGGCATCGGAGGGCAATCTAGAAGGGTTGATATGTGGACGTAGACTTGGGGCAAAGCATATGCATGAAGATACATACGGACACGGATCCTAGAACTCTTGAATACAGACAGGGGACCGACAGAAATATTGCGCTACAGTAATATGTAATTCTCGATTCTTTTCCCGGCCATGCAGAGATATATCCCCAATAACACCAGACACCAACAACCTTGACAGGATGCTGAATACCTACATCAAGCAAAGAGCTCCGCGGTATCCAGCGCATCGCGCGGTTTTGTTCGCCCGCCACTGGTTCGTAACCCGAGTTCCCCCTTCTTAGCCAGCCTCTCGACGCTCTGCTCCGCCCGCGCATTATACCGTCCCGCCTTCTTCTGTCTGATCTCGGACCGGATCTGGTTCGGGCTCACGAATTCCTTATTCTCGTAGATGATGGGCCCACCGAAACTGCCCTCCTGGATCACGATCGGCGTCAGCACGAACCGCGGCCCGATCTCCACCAGCGAGATCTCCGTCTCCTTGCCCTTCTCCCGCGCTTTCACCGTGGGCTTCTCGTCGCCGGGCGTCTCTGATGTCGACACGGCCGACGCTTCGGTTTCGGAGATCTGGTAGTTCCGGATCCAGATCTTGCCGTCGGCGAGCGTGAAGCCCATTACGTGGTCGATGAAGGGCTTGGCTTTCCGGGCGCCTTTGGGCACGCCGAAGATGTGGAGGAAGAGTTCTTTGAGGACGCGGAGGTGGGGCGCAGAATCGAAGGAGGCATCGAAGGAGAGGATGGGGCGCGAGCCTTTCAGACAGTTTCCTGTGAAGTGGAGCTCTTCCATTGTGTGTACTGGCCGCAATTGTTAGTCTGGAAACTTGGAAGGTGGGAGAGGGGCGGGAGCATCGTACGGTTTTGCATGTGCATCTTAACAGTAGGTCCGTTGGGCGCCTTGCTCATCCATAAATATAAATCCTTCCCCTTCCTTGCCTCGAAGAATAACACATTATTGCAATTGTAGAGCTCTGCGAGCTCGTTTAATTGGTAGAGCTTAGATTTCGTGTCGAGCTTTGCATCTTTCCGACTGTGTGGTAGGAGAGAAGCAATATCATTCAATAGATGTCGATGTCTATTGCAATCATATTAGTGCATACTCTTTCAATCTCTTCTTCGAGCAAGTTCAGGTAATGAGAACTTACCTATAAGTAATTCCTCTCGAAGACAATATCAAAACTCTCTGCTTGTTTTTCTTTACTCCATTCGTAGAGTCCTCTTCCTTATGACCATCGGTCTTCGATAATGACTTGTATACAGAAGCCATTTTGTTGTATGGATTTCGTCGCCAACTTCGTGAAATTCGTGAAATCTCCAAATCTTTTTCGAATTTCTCTGGAGGACTTATCTTAGCGCGAACCTTAATGTAGCCGCGCTAACCATGTACGGATACTAGCGCCCTTTGCCGTTCAGCCCCGCCACATATCATCGTGTACGGACTCCGGAGTGGGCGTTCCTGCGTATGGATATCATGATGTTCATCGATAACTTCAGGTTCTCAATCGGCTCAAGAAATGACCGGGAGATCTCTATCATGCCTCTGTCACCGTGATACTGCCATTGACCTGCGATCCTGATTACCAGCCCTCTGTCCTTTTGAGTGGACAGAACCATTGCACCGCTTCAGCGATAATGTCCTATTCTCCTTGCTCCCCCGCTGCCTGGTCGCATTTAAAGTGTCACACCGTACTCGAACCAGCTACCGCGTCCTAGATTTCGAATTATGGTCTCTTGCATCCCAAAAAATCGATTGCACCAAGGCTGATGCTAACAATCCGTGGGGGTGCTACAAGACGCGTGGACTTCAGCCCGGTGCTTGAAGGATTGGACACTACGAGGGATTGGCCCTGAAGATCTTGGGGACCGGGGCATGGTGCCTGACGATGGTTAAAATAAGCATTGGAAGTCTGTGCTGAGGATGAGGGGTACGATATCATTTGTTGGAATACAAGAGATAGTGGGTGATATGCTAATAATAGGAACCAGCAGGATTCGAGCACAGCTTGAAAAAAGCCATCTGGGGAACAAAGGGATATCAGGGATTCTAGGACATCAGGAATTTTAGATAGGAGCAAGTCAATTTTCCGGCAGGATGGAGGTCTCACAACTGCATACATATTAGACATCCATTGAAGTAGCAAGCAGCGGTTAGTCATTGAAGGCATGAAATCAATAAGACACCGCACAACCGACACAATGAAAAAATATTGTAAAAGAAGTAGGGAAATTGATCCGTGGGTCATAGAATCGTGCTCAGCGTCGATTCCATGGCCAACCATGCTCCCACCATGAACAACATGTTAAAAGAGACGCCACGCCTTGTATCAACCCCCCCAATCATTCGACCATTCAACCAAATATGAATTTCGTGGCCATCGAAATGCGAAGAGGACCCTAACAGCACTTTCCACCTTTGGCGGCACTTTCGTCTGCCGAATTGCTAAGGGAAATGTTGGTACCAGCACCAATGTTGGCTTGTGCGGAGTCATTGTCAACGGTTTTCAAGGAGACGATTCGGTAGATTTCTGTGGCGCGAGGATTAGCACAAATCAATGGGCGGGGTGTAGCAAAACTAAGATATCGTACCTGTGAGGATGTTCTGGAAGGCAAGCTCAACGTTGCTAGCATCGAGGGCCGAAGTTTCAATAAAGGAAAGGTTGTTCTCGCCTGCAGCTACGTCAGCGTCTGTCTCATTATTCCAGTTGCATTCGGGGATTCGTACTGGCAAACTGCTTGGCTTCCTCTGTAGGCACCGCTCTCAGATGTCTCAAATCGCTCTTGTTTCCTACTAACATGATGACGATGTTCGAGTCGGCATGGTCCCGCAACTCCTTCAACCATCGCGTAACGTTCTCATACGTCTGGTGCTTGCTGATATCGTAGACCAGCAGAGCGCCCACAGCGCCCCGGTAGTAGGCTGATGTGATGGCGCGATACCGCTCTTGGCCAGCTGTGTCCCAGATCTGTGCCTTGATCGTCTTCGCATCTACCTGGATGCTTCGGGTCGCAAACTCCACGCCGATGGTGGACTTGGAGTCTAGGTTGAACTCATTGCGGGTGAATCGACTCAGCAGGTTGGATTTACCGACGCCAGAGTCTCCGATCAGCACGACTGGAGGGGCCAGATGTTAGTTTCACGAGAGCGGTGCGAGGCAGAGGCGGTGGGGCGCTGTCCTTACCCTTGAAAAGGAACTGCGCACGAGACTCGTTAGTATAGATTCATCAATGGCAGACTTGGGACGCGATCGGGACTCACATCGTATTCGTCGTTCGCCATGATTGATGTTTGGAGGGAGATGTAGTTGTGGAAGGGAGGTTGATCGGGTCCAGATGTGTAAGTAAGGGTCGCAGACCAAAACCGGGGGGGGAGGGGGGCTCTTGTTTTGGCGAGAGGCCGCGTTAATGATGGATAATAAGCGCGACGACAGGGGCTGTCTGACGAGGCGGAGTTTCTTCCTGTTTTCTATTTCAGATCCAGGTACAGCGTTGCGACCTCGAGCACAGTTCACGGAGGGAGTTTGTGGTGTTGAGAGAGTGGCTGGACGAGAGGCTTGGTTACGGGATTTCTTCCTTTGAAACCTGAGTCCGGCTGTTGCACCGCACAAAGGACTTGATTGGGCCAGATCACGTGCTCTTCGGATCGACGACCTCCTTTTGCGCCACAATCTGATATCACAGCACTGCACAGGCGTGAGGGCTCAGCCTTGATTATCTGGTCTGGTGGTTGAGGTGGTCGAGGTTGTAAAGGTGATCTGGCTTTTACAGTGTACGGGATCCCGTCCGAAGACGTTGCTGGGGTGGTCTACTGGCCGTTTGAGGACCATTCCTCGCTGGAGGAGCTCACTTTTTGACAAGGGGAGAGAGACATCTTACCACTCACCGGCGGTATCCCAATCATGACCGAACGGACGGTGGCGAAGCAATCGCGTGCGGCGCTTGATGACGATGATATCTCTATCACTTCCTCCCAGAGCGAGCAGTATTCTTCAGACCAGGAATTTCTGGTCGACAGGATCTTGGCTGAGAAGAGGGAGACGGATGGCAAGTTGTACTTTCTGATACTCTGGGCTGGCTATCCGGAGGAGAAGTCCACGTGGGAGCCAAAGAAAAATATCCAGGACCGTGATATCCTCAAAGCATGGAAACGTCGGAAGAAACTCGAAACGCGAGGAGTCAAGCCAGCTTTCAATCTAGCCAGGTTCAATGCTCGGGTTGCGGAGATAGCCAGGGAAAAGGCTGATCGTCATCGGCGTCGCAAGGCTAAGAGAAGACGGTTGGGTATACCCGTATCACCCTCCGAATCATCTGAGCCCGAGAATGATCATCATGACGATGACACTGATTCTACAGAAGCTATGGAAGTGTATGAACCGCCGGAAGATGTTCCAGAGACTACGAGAAGAGCAAACCTACCTGCCCGAAAGCCGGCACGTAATCAGCATGTTGGCAATGTTGAGAGATCGTCCGGTGTAGCATCGGCTCCTAGACGGAGGGGTAGTAACCAGCAGGACGTTGAGAGCGACTCTTCAGATGATGCTAATGGCCTCTTTGTTGGAGACAAGAAACGTGCCAAACAGAAAGCCTTGCAATCCTTACTGGAAAAGCGCTCCACGCGGAAAGGCCCACAAGCATCTGACAAGGCAGATCGAGGCCAAGCTGTTGCAAATGTACCCTTGAATGTGCGTTCTACTATATCTATCAACTGATAATTTCATTCTAACACTATAGATAGCCCGTGGCCGACCAGCAACGGCAGCAGCGAGAAAGGTCTTCATCACCTGAGATGCCTTTAGCTCAACAGCGCCAAGGCCAAAATCGAGAAGCACCCGCACCGCGGCCTGGTGTTAGCGATCCTCCATGGGCCACAAATGCATCCCCCGGAGGACCATCCGCAAGCATAACTGGAGATCCAGCTACTCGCGGAGTTTCGTCTGCAAGCAGGGGAAAAGGTGCTACACGAGGAGGAGCCCTTGCATCTAGAAATGTGTTCTCAATTCGTGGCTCAGCGAAGAAGAGACCCACTCTCATCGAAGTATCTTCGGATCCTAACAAAGAACAAAAGCTTTACACAAATTGGCACATCCGCCGAAAAGCACAGCTTGCCGCTCGGGACATGGCAGATGCTGCACCAGATCTTTCAGCTCTCGGTGGTCTATTCGACCCCTCAAATCCTTCTTCACTCCAGCCTTTAAAGCCGGCAACTTTGCGGAAGGCTTCATTTCCAAATCCAAAGCTACAGGAGTCAGATACCCGGCGGCCATCTATAGAAGTGGACGGACAACCTGAGATCTCCGACCTTGGAGAAGGTCCAACAAGAATTGAAATGCCTCTTAGCATTGCTAACCCAACCTCAGCCCCCGGCGAGCCATTGACTTCTCATCCGCCAATTAGACCGGCTTATGTACATGAACGACACGGTGCTGATGCCATATGCTACTTTTGGTATAACAGAGGAAGTTGCTCCAAGGGCATAAATTGTCCCTTTCTTCACTCTGATGACGCCAGCTTACCTATTGCCCCTGCGCCGAACAAAAAAGCGCAGGAAATAACTGAGCTTGAAAAGAATAAGGCTCAGCAATCTGATGCTTCTTTACCATCTAATACTCCTGATAAACGGCCATCGCACCTTGATGAGGAACGTAGAGAGCGTCAAAAAGAGAGGGAAGACGTGGTTGTCCACCACACTCCACAATCCAATAGTTCTTTGCTTCCAGATCCTTCAACTAGTCCAACCTTGAAAGACAACCCTACAAGATCGCTCAGAAAAGAGTCCTCGAGTAGGCCGCCATGGAATGAGCGAGATCCTTTCAATTCAATATGCCATTTTTGGCACACCACAGGCAAATGCAAAAATGGATCAACATGTAGATATCTCCATACTGAAGATGGCAACTTACCTGTGGCTCCTAAGCCGACAGGTAAGTCAGAAAAGACCTGCAGATTTTGGATAAAAGGGGGTTGCTATGCGGGCAGTAAATGCGAGTACAAACACCCCTCAGATTTGACTACAGTCAAGGATTCAATACCAGCTAGAATTCCCGAGCCCTCGCCTCAAGTCGCCGTTTCAAAGGCACCTCGGAAATCCGTCTCTTTCGCAATTGACAAGCCGGAGCATAGACCAGAGACCCCTCCCGAAGAAGCAAGGAATCTTATCTCTACAAGTTCCAAGAAAGGGCTGCCGCCAGAACTCAGAGAACGCTATGATAAAACCTGTTCTTTCTGGGCAAGAAATAATTGTCATCATGGTGAGAATTGCTGGTATAACCATTTTCATGAGCGTGATAGGCCAAAGGAAACGATGGTGCAATTGCAAAGTCAGGACGAAACCCCAATCGACTTGACTCTGGGAAACCACATCCATGAATCAAGGGAACAACAGGCAGATACAAGCAGCTCCCTCAGACAAACTCAACGCCATGGAATAAGTGAATCCGCTGACACTTCCCCAAAACCGATCTACCAAGAAGCTCCACCACCACTTAGTAAGGAATCTTCAGTTCCTAAAACAGGAACCATTCCACCTCCCCAAGAAAAAGGAGCAATGGATGTCGCACTCGGAAGCAGAACTAAAGAGCTCATCTTGGGTAATGACGAGCCCTTGTCTATTATTGTTGACTTTGAAGACATTGGTGACGCACTACAACAACCCTGGGGTCAATCATTTTCAGCTATTCAGAGACTTCACTTTCTCAAGATGTGTACTGCACAAGATTTTGCGGCCCAGCGGAGTACTTTAGAATTCCTCATGCTTTGGCATGGGAGCTTTACATCAATTACAGACAAGCAGGTGCTGGCAAAGATAGATCATGTTTCACAACATCTGAGGCTTTGTTCGGGGGGATTTATATCAGCTTGCAAGAACTTCAATGTTCTTATCTATCCAGCAATGGAGGAGTGGGGATTTGTTGGAGCACCGACCAACTCCTCTTCACAAGACACATTGAGATATCTCATCTTTCAAAGCAGCTCGGAGATTGAGAAACCTCTGGCATCTAAGGGTTCAGCTCCAACGCTTTATGGGAAGACATTGGTCAAAAGCTTACACGGACTCGATTACAACCAATTACTCCCCAGACATAAGAAGGGCCAGGTCTTTCACTTTTATTTACTATTTCCTGAAAGTAACAATCCAACTGCGGAATTTTTCGCATCTTGGCTCAGAGCATCTGACAACCGATGCAAGATATATAGTAGCCAGAAAAAAGGTTCCTGGGATTTCTTTGTCAAAAGCCCTGATATCGACGCTGGGGTTGTCTTGATTCACGAATCTGCATTGGCCTATATTTGCGAATTGCCTTCACTTTCTCATCTACTTTCTCCGTCTACTGCCAACAAAATGTTCACATTCTGGTGTATTGGAGACTGCTCAGTTCCAGACGCCTCAACTCTCGGACAAATCACCGTTACCCGAATACTTCCACATGGACACGCTTTTCTTCTCACACCAAGCTTTCTTATCGCAGAGCCAGAAAGGGCGTATTACCTCATTCGATGGTTTCGGGAGAAACTCAAAAAGTCCACGCCTGGGACTTGGAAGCTCGTTTGTGCACACAATATTGCCGACTACTTGCTTGATCTTGCAGTAGAAAAGTCGTTCGAACGAGATGCATTCTGTGAAGAGCATAATGAAAAGCCTGCTAAAGATTCAATGGCGGCCAAACGTGGTTTAAGCTATGAGGCATGTGAGGCCAGATTTAAGTGCCACGCGGCTATTTCCGATATGCTTTCAAAATACCTGGACGAATCTTCAGATACCTACGAGTCAGATCGAATGGATGGTGATGACAGTCCGGTTGTTTATGCCGATGAATCAATATCACCGGACGATGAACAGGCTTTAGTTGTCTGGTTTGCAGGATGGTCTATTACGAAATTAGAGCAATTCCGGAGGTACACTGTTGTTGGGACGAGCCCATCGAGTTCTGACCGTGCGGTGAGGATGAAAGAAATTGCGGTCATCCAGCCACCTTCTTCAAAGTCCCTAACAAATCCCGGAACTCCCATCAGGAATCCTGAACCAACTAACCAGGCTTCTGTTGCTGAATCTTTTATGGAAGCGGGAAAACTCAGGGCACTTGCAGTTGCAGCAAAGCTAAATTCGTCTTCCCCAAACAAACCGCCATCTACAACACATCCAACAACGTCGACGTCAATACCACCGTCAAAGCCTCCGCTTCAGCCTGTAGGCACTCTTGGGCCATATGTTGTGTCTGTCCCAAAACCAAACTCCTCCTCGGATGCGGCCCCCAAAAGTCCCGCACCTTCGACGAAAGCAACTCTCATCTCTGTGGATGGATCCGCCGAAATTGATACCAATTCCAATTCCCAAGCTGATGATGGTGCACGACGTACTGTCCAGATAGATGACATCGATGACTCGCGCGACCAAATGGATATCGACGCTCAAGTCCTCGATTTGATCGCTAGCGTTCAAGCAGAGGAGGAGCAGCGCCAACTACCGCCTCTCGTGACAGAAGGCCTAGGTAATTCTGCCGAACCACGTGTACCTCTGTCAGTAGAATCTGCTACGAAGAGTACATCCTCTGCATCCCAACGCGGTGTAATGATTTCTGAATCTTCGCCTCAAACTGGGATCACGTCTCCCTTCTCACCACCCCAATTGGATGGCTCTGGCGACGAGAGACCACAATATTCAGGATCGAACTCTGGGAGATTCGGGATTGCAACTGACCATAATGGTCGGCAATTGATGAGGCCCGACGGTCATTTTCCACCTGAAGATAGATATCGCGATCGCCGTACCATCGATGGTGTCCTACAATCTGGGCCCAGCTCACGGCAGTCTCCTGCCTCTGGCGACGCGATGGATATCGACCCGCCTGAAGAAGAGACAAGCAGGACGACTTCAGTCAATACTTTCTCTATCCGTGGACGAGCTAGTAGAGAAAAGGGAAGGAAAGAAGCTGGAGATAGAGTTAAAAAAGAGGTTAGATATGAAGTTACGACAGCTTGGTATGGGCGTTTGAAGGCGGAGGGTAAAGGCTGGGAACATATTTATGTAGATGGCTGGGAGAAGTGCTTCAGGAACTTGGGGGCTATGCAGCCTTTGGCATAAATAGCCACCTTATGTGTATTATAGAGACGTTGCATGGAAAGGACGGGGCTTGCTTTTCCCTTCGTGGCTTTGAGCTTTTATAGACTAGAATTCTAATCGCTGATATTTCAACTTTCGCTATTACTTGCTCACTGATCTTGAGCCACTGAACATCCATCTATTTCCCCTCTCAAACCCTCTATGTACGAGATAAGGAGAACTGGAAGGGGGGATTTACAGGCAGAAGAGGTGTTGATCTCTAGATTTCCTCACAGCGTAATATAGCCTACTTATGACAGTAATCCCAATACCAGACGTGCCAGAGGTCCCATCACTCAGCAAGATAATCCTCAGCCTCGACCCCCACACTCCTCGCCACGCCCCTAACCACCTCCCACCCAACAGCGACTCTATACTTGCTCCCCGCATCCAACGTATCCCCCGCATTCGCCGCGCCCACCTTAACCAGCAAGCGCAACGTCGCCAGCGTCGCAATCGCCATCTGAATATCCGCCGCGCCAGCCGTGCGTTCCCTGCCCCTGCCGGCCTTCGCCCGCAGATCCGCATCCTCCTCAATGGCGTGGAAGATCGCAAGCATGCGCTCGAGGACGAACGCCTGCGGACCGAGCAGCTTGCGCGAGATCTTGCGATGCTTGGTCACGCCCGGTCGACCTTTCGGGAGCGCGGTCCCGCCGCCCTTCTTGCGGCGTTTGGCGGCCGCTGCTTTCATGAAGTGGACTTGGTCGGTGCGCGGAGGGTTGAAGGAGGCGAGGTAGGCGGCGACGAGGAGAAGACGCGAGTAGTATGGGAGCTGGGCGCCGATGCCTCGGTATTTTCCATGTTGTAGGGAGCTGGGTAGAGGTGTTGGGTTGGTGGGTGTGTCGGCGACTATGCTGGGGACTAGCACCCCGTCGTTCTGGAATAGGGATCGGTTCGCAAGCAGGAGGCGGCTGAATTGGGACGCCGAATGCGTGCCTTCCAGCACGGGAGCTATGAATCTCGGCCATAGACGTAGACAAACCGAGCGGATGGAGAGGATATCTCGGCCGGAGTGCTTTGCAAGGGAGTCCCAGACAGCAGAGCCAAAACGGATCCAGACATCTTTGGTGTCTTTCGCACCTTCTGGGAGTTTGGGTGAGGGGTCCGTGAGAGAGAGTATTTGGAGAATTTCTGCCTTGGTGTAGGGGGGAAAGTGGATATGCGGAACGCCAGGGAAGTGTAGAAAGTTAGGACGAGGGGCGGTCACGATGAATACACTTGTGAGATTTGGAATCTAGAGTCGAGTCAGTACACAACCGCTCTTGGGCATGTGCTTGCACTTACCACCTCCCCCAATCTGGCCAGAGCTGGTAGCAAAGTTGGTGGCGCTTCTCTTTGATTGTCAATACCATCAAACACTAATACAAATCTCTGCTTTGCACCATCTGTCCTATCTGAAGTCCAGCCTTCAAATAATCTTCCAAGCTCAACGACTAATTGTGAAAGACTGTCGCAGCGTCGCACACCCTCCCTCCATCCCACGGCACTTGCAACGGCGCCAACCGTCTGCTCAAGTAGATGCCTCCCAGTAATACACTCAGCGCTCTTAACTATTGCATGTCGTAGATTATCTTCTGCGTGTTCTTCCTCTGAATCTCCATTGGCGGTGGTATTGGTTGGACCAGATGACAACGCCTCCAGAAGAGCCTTTGTTATAGCGCTTTTACCCGTAGCTTCGAGACCGTGAAGAACAATGTTTCTAGGCGGTGCGCCCCGAATCTGAAGCGCGAATTGTCAGCCAGATGATCTTTCCTTGGTACATTGTCAAGGTGTTGCCCAGACTCAAGCACTTACGGAAAGCAATGTTGCCAAAGAACGAATCTGTTGATCTCGACATGGGAAACTTGAACGGAGGGAATTGAGTACCAACTCATTTGGTAAAGAGAAAAGCGAAGCCATTGCGGTCAATCGTGAAGCTCACCTCCACGAATTCCACCGAGGTACCTAGTCTCATTGAAACTTTGGGGAGACGCGTCCGGCTATCGCGTTGTTTGCCGCGCGCTTATTCTATATTACATAATCAATACGACGACTTACTTCGTTTCCAAATAATCAACCGATACAGAATCCCTGAAATCTGTTATCACCACTCGAGTCGAATCTATCCCTTGTTCCGGCATCAACAGTCATATGTAGGCTATTTGAATTGACAGACAAAGTCTTAAGGATATGTACTTCCATTCTATTCTCCTCTCCATCATCAGCTTGGTCTTCCCAGCATAGCTGAAGCCTAAAGATAAGGTCCGTCCATGGTGTCCATCATGTTAACGTGTTGCGCTTTGAGAAAACTTAATATCAACTCAAGGTATCTTTCATCTGATGGCTTTACGATTCAATTCAAGCTTTAATAATACTTCCCCAGAACTCTGGTTTCTGTATATGCGAGTCTAGGAGCATTCTAACCCCCCCCTTTTTTTCTCGCTTCAGCTCTCGCCCGGATCTCCACGATTTTCAAGATAATTCAAGTGTATAGCCATGTCTGCCAAGCTTATTACCACATGACCACACAAGAAGTCAAGGACAGGCTGCATAACATGCAAGATGAAAAGGTCAAGGTATATATATTCTCTCGTATAACCAGGACCTCTCGTATATCTAGTAATTCTGGTAATCTTTCGAGGGCGCTCTCAATTCTATACCTACTTGAACTCTACAGAGAGGACTTATAAATAGGTAAATAGACACTCGAAAGTAGCGTATAGCAATACTATAATATGACTGAATTATAAACCATGAGAATAGTTTCTATCTTCTCCCTCGTGAATCTTCCATCTCAGGAGAACTGGATCTGATAATTGCGGATACTCCTTTACAAGACGCAGGGTTGAAATCACGGGCCTTAACTCAAACCTTCAAAATCTCCAGCATTAAGCAACCCCGCCAAAAAAACATTCCAGAGAGTATTAGCAGAGGGGATTGTTTTTCCTCTATAATTTTTAAAGAAAAGAAGATTCAGAAGGTACATAAAATCCTTCTCATCGAGCGGATGTTTGAGATGTTTACATCACGTGATTAGCCCCTGAGACCATCGTCGAGGGGGACGAAATGCGCAAATGCGTATTATTACTCTACAAACCATTACATTTAAGAGAAAGATAGAGAAGAATCAAGAGAGCAAAAGATTTCAGATCTCACTTGTAAATACAAGGAATGGCCCAAGTTTAGGCAATATCAAAACATGGCCAACCTCCTGGTCAAGCACAGGATATGTAAACACGTCCTAAACACCAGGGAATCAACCAAATCCCCAGATCAAAAGATAAATACAATGCATATATTAAATCCTAAAGTATGAATTCATCCTCCCTTAATACCAAAACCATGAACCCACCTCATCTTTCCCTCCTCCTATGCGCGCATCGTCCCCAAAACGCATTCACCACGCGTCACCCGCCAAATTCACGGTTCCTCCCTCATATACCACAATAAGAAGAATTCTCTCACTAACAAACAAACAGCAAACCCCAACCCAGCCCGCCTGGAGCAGCTGGTGTAACCGTAAGTTCCACCCCTTACCCCAACCCAGACTACTAACAACTCTCACAGACCCAGGTTTCAGACCCTTTGGCGCTTGCGCCATAAAAAGAAAAAAAGTCTCCAGACAAAAAAAAAAAAAAAAAAAAAGGGACATTCTTGAGAGTCCGAACAATGGCCTCGAAAGAGGAATTGTAACATGTGCACCACAGGGTGTAGCAACAGTAGGCCACCGTGGTCATGGCCTATAGGGATCAGCGGGGGGGAGGATGGGCGGCTTCAAAAACCTGAAAGACGGTTTTCTACGAGATCCTAGGCTTAGGATCTCCGAGTTTTGGTATTTTTTTCCCTGCTGATACACAGTGTAGATATACCTTTTTGGTGTTTTCATTGCCATGTAGTCTCCTGACTTGCGAAGAACGCGTCAGGTAAAGTGAATTGGCACATACAGAGCGCGACTTGCGCTCTGATGCGAGTCGAGCTTCAGCAAACTGAACATTGACGCGACGATATTGAATGGAAGATGCATCACGTCTACCATTAAAGGATGTAAGGAACTCGGTGAAATGATTATAGACATAACGCCTGCACGTGCAGGGGTATCACGACATTATCGTACAAAAATACTTCCAACGCCACTCCTTGCAACATCCCATCCATTATAATCTACAGAGATTTGGTCAACGTCGAGTTTCATCCAATCGCCGCTGATGGTAAGCCTCTTCCTGCATTCGTCTGTCCCTTTCCTCATTCATTCGTCGGTCCCTCTCGTAACTGCTCTCAAAACGGTCACGACCTGGGAGTTGCTGCTGGTATTGCATGCCCAAAGGGGTTCCTTGGTGCTGTGGCGCCTGAACGTACCCTTGCTGTTGTGGAGCTGGTGCCGAAGATGCTGTGAGCGGATAGCGGCCGTCGAAGCTGTTTTGTCTTGATCGATGCAACGAGTGTTGTGCGGTATATTGAGTTGGTGGCGATGCCATGTGCGAAGGGCCCGCAAATGCCATTTGACGATGACCCGGCTGTTGTTGGCTTTGGGGTTGGTATGTTGGTCCGAGTTGAGGCGAGCCAGCAGCATTGGACTGTTGCTGCTGCATGTGATAAGGTTGCCTCGAATAGTAGTCACGCTCGGATGGCGGCGCATGGTCAAGCGGGGACGCCATTTGCGGTCGACTTGCTGGCTGAACTGGCGGAGGAGGCGTTACAGAGTACGGAGATTCCTTCACTCTCATAGAGGGTTGGGAGGCAGCAGAACTACGAGAATATCCGCCTGACACGCTCAGATGTTCACCAAGAGGTGGTTCACGGCGAACAGGAGGAGGTTGCGAATTCAGGGATTGACGAGGTGGTTGGGAATACATCGGCTGCTGTTGCTGCATTGGAGGCGGGGGAGCATAGCTTCTGCTCTCGAAGCTGTTGGGGGTATAGCTGCGAGCTGAGCCAATAGACGAAGTATGCTGGTGCTGAGGGTATCCAGATGGCTGAGGGTACTGGTGTTGGGTTTGAGGAGGTTGGTGCTGAGAAGTCAATTGTGGGGGCATTTGCTGCGACATCTGTGGAGGCGGTTGAGAAGTTGCTTGGGGGTGATGAGTTGCGTAACGAGGAGGTTGCAATGCTTGTTGGGGAGGAGGGGTCTGCGACGTCTGTACAGTGGTTGAGCCAATGTCGTTGACACGCTTCGAAGGTGGGTGAGGATCACTGGGCTCATCATTTAGCAAAGACATGATGTTCGACTTGCGCGCAGGCTCTTGGCGGACTGGAGCGGCAGGCGGAGCTTGTGGAGGAGGCACGGGGTGTTGTTCTTGGCTTGCGGGTGGCGCACTCCTTGGAGGCCGAGGAACAGCTGGCGAAGGGCTGGACTTCACTTCTCGAGCTGTTTTGGTATTCTCGCTCATAATATTCCGGACAGACTGATGACTACGGGGTGGATATTGCTGAGGGGGAGCTGTACGTCTGACTTCAGCTGCCGACATTTGGTGGGCAACTTCGGGTCTTGAATTGGCCGCGACGCTAGGATGCATAGATGAAGCCGGATATGGTTCATATTGATGCAAATTCGACACGTCGGTCTCCTGTTTCATTTGGAGATGACGTTCTCGCTGCATGGCTTGCTGATGCATTGCTTGGTGCTGGGCCTGAGCCTGTTGAGCCTGAGCCTGGGCCTGAGCCTGGGCTTGTGCTTGTGCTTGTGCCTGAGCCTGGGCCTGTGCATGAGCCTGAGCCTGAGCCTGAGCCTGGGCCTGAGCCTGAGCTTGGGCTTGGGCTTGCGCCTGGGCCTGAGCTTGAGCTTGAGCTTGAGCTTGAGCCTGAGCCTGAGCCTGAGCCTGAGCCTGAGCCTGAGCCTGAGCCTGAGCCTGAGCCTGAGCCTGAGCCTGAGCCTGAGCCTGAGCCTGAGCTTGGGCTTGGGCTTGAGCTTGAGCAGCTTGCTCACGTTCTAGCCGCAGGGCTTCTTGACGTTCTCTGTGTGCTTCTTGAGCGGCCATAAGCGAACGCTGTGAGATGGAGTCGGATATTGGTGGCGTTGATGAGCCTTGCTGTGCATTTGCGGCTTGTATGATGGGACGCTGCGGATCGGTATTGAAATAGCCTAAGGCAGGTCCACGTGGTGGTCTTGGCTGTTGCTGCAATGGCTGTGGTGGTTGCTGAGCGGATTGTTGAGGCAGGTGCTTGCTTAAGATTGACGCCGGAGTGGCTGGCGAACCCAAGGTCGGTGGAACGGGACCTGCTTGAGCCAATGTCGGGAAACGAGAACTCAAGCCGGGTTGCGTTGGAGAACCTTGCTGCAAGACCATGCTTTGACCGGCAGATGACATATCATCAAGTCCCTCCATAACAGATCCCGATCGTGGGACCGAACCTGATGGGGTATCGATGCGTCTCTTCGGTATAACGATTGGCTTTGGCAGAGGGCCGGTTGACTCTCCTCTCCTTCGCTTCTCGTCGGCCTCTTCCGCGATCTCTTTCCACGAACTCATTTTGCCTGAATCTACCTGGCGTAAATAATAGTTTTTGACCTGTACCTGGACGTTAGCGTCATGTCGACTCTTATTACTGTTTGAAAGTTCGGTAAGCCATTGTTGAAAAACGGAGTTGTATACCATGATATGTGTCTTCGAAGTCATAAACTTTGCTATTCCATGCCAATCTGTCCCAAAGTGCCGCAATAAAGCAGGGAAATCATTTTGCTCAGGTACGCTCCAATAGCTTGATGTTTGCTGAAGATTTCGTCGGTCTTGGCCGTCCGAGGTCGTGGGAGTGCTGGAATCGGGGCGTTCTTGGCTAGCGAAAGTCTGTGGCATGACCTCAAATTCAACATTCATGGGGGGATTAGGTCTATCACCAGGAGTGTATGGGGAAGCAACGAAATTAGGAGTGGAGGAAGCCCCATCATACTGCAGAGGAAATCGATTTAGACCAGCGGATTCGCGGCGGGATGAGGAAGAGACTGGCTGCGTAGCTGGCGATTCGCCTTGTTGGCTCGGCGGTGTTGGAGCAGCAGCCAAGAGTTGACTGTTCTTGGCTTGCTTGGAGGCTTTCTCACGAGGGGCCTTGGTCTTCCGCTTGGTAGGAGCCGCATCGCTACTGGTCTCTCCCTTTGGAGCCGCAGCCGATTTTCGTCCGGGAGTGGGCGCTGGACTCGTCGTCTCGCTGTCACCATTAGTGTTCTCGAATGCAAACGTTGGAGCGGCTGCACGTCTTGGGCGGCGTCTTTCCGACCCATTCTCAGTCTCCTGACCATCTTCCCCATCTTCTCCCTTGACGATGTCTACCGTCAACGCGCTTGACTTTGGCTTCGCCCCTTTCGGAGCTGCTCTTCTACCTTTCCTCCTCCCCTGTTTTTTGATCTTTTCCTTGAGGTTTGAACTATGCTTGACGAGATAATAGTGTTGAATGCAAGCTTTATAATCACGTTGAGGAAGATGTTCTGCGATCTTGCCCCACTGTTTAGGAGTCTCCAAGTAAGCCTTTTCAAAAATCTCACATTCCTCTTCTGTGAAATTATCGATGGGCTCCCCATATTCAAGCCTTGCAATAGATCTCTCAAACGGGACGAGATGCGTTCTGTCGATGAAAACGTTTTCGAGTCGCTCTTCTTCAGTCCAATACATGTCTGGAATGGTAGCCTCCTTTGCGTTCGCAGTTTCGATCCTGTCATCGCGCTCTTGCTTTTCTTTGGTTTCAGTTGCTTCCTTGGCTTCCTGTTCAGATTCTCGAAGGACCCTGTCAAGATCGTGCGCGGTTGCGAATCTGCTTCCAGTACGTCGGGATTCTGACTTCCCACCAGGGGTGGGAGTTGAGAGAGCTGCTGCTTCAGCTGCAGCTTTTGCCCGTGCCTTCACGAACTTCTCTCTGCTTCGAACAGCAACAGGATCATTTGAGAAGTCAGTCCATTTGCGATATTTGTAGTAGCGCTCCTTCCATGCCTGGCGCTCTGCTTCTTGTTCTTTTTCCTTGGAAACTTGACTGAGTATTTTCTTCTTTTTCAGCAATGCTTCCACAAGTGGATCCGGCTCAAGAGTCTTCAAGAATTCTGGATCTTGGTCCCATCGCTTGCAATTAAATTTTGGTAAGCTTGATAGCGGAGGCGTCTTCATCATCTTGCGGACAGCCTGAAGCTCTTCTTCGCGCTCTAGTATAGCCAATTCATCTTCGCTCTCCTCAGGCAGGTCCATCATAGGCTTGTCTTCCGTAGGTTTGCTATCAGCAACTGGTTCCGCATCAGGTACCGGCTCGTTCACTCCTACGAATTTATCTGAAGGTGTGGTGTCCAGCAAGGGTTGTGAATCTACAGTCGATGCTACGTGAGATTCGCTGATAGGTTCTGATTCCAGAGCAGATGCCTGCGCTTCGAGACGCGAGACAACATCGTTGCCATTGATAATAGGCACCGCCACCGGTTCAGATTCAACTAGCGGTGCTTCCGGCATGTCTTGGTCTTCCGTTGTCGGTAATGTCTCTTCTTTGTTTCCGACTGCTTGATCCTCCATCGGTTCCTCCGGAGGCACACAATCCTCTCGTTTGTTGGAGCGATTGCCGACAAAGTGTCGAGCCTTGAAGAAAATTGATTCAGGATCATCTAAGGATGACTCCCGGTAGGGCGCTAGCAGAAAAGCGTCAAGGACTTCCGGTGGCCGTAGAGGGGAAAGCTCTAATAACTTTTCCTCATACAGCTCTTGTTTCAATTCCTTTATAAACGCGAGCCTTTCCTCCCGCTGTTTCTCGTCCTCCTGGTTATTCTCACCTGCATCGTACAACTGCAAGAGCTCGTCCGGCAACGGTCTATCATCGTCTTCCGGAGGAGGAGGAAATTTTGAGAGTACGCCCTCAATCTTCTCCATGTCTTCCTCCAAGAATTCAGCACGACCGATAGAGTCAACCGAATCGGCATCTGAATCATCAGAGACATTGTCAACAGTTGCGGGAGACTCCTTAGATGGGACAACAACGGCACGCTTGCCACCAATGAACCGGCGTTTTCGACGAACATCTTTGGATGAGGAAACAGGCTCTGATTTCGACTCGGAGGGCTGAAATTTGTCCGACGACGCAATTCTTTCCGAGGGCTTCTCATTGGGCCTGGGTTCTTTTTCACTATCAGTCGATCGAGGCAGTGGCGGCTCTGGTTGCTTGTTAATGCTAGCAGGGCTCTGGATACTAGATTGTACGCCACTGGAACCTGGCCTAGATGGTTCGGAAGGTACTTTTCTTGGGCCAGCAAGCTCCGGATTGATCCACTTTTTTGATGCCACGACGCCACTTTCTCTTCCAATGTGCAAGCGAGCCACCTTAGGAGCACCGTGTGAACGGGGGGCCGTCGGAACTGGCACCCCGATGACAGAACTAATGGCTGGGCCTGTAGGAGGGACTGGTGATGGAGTCGTGAGGGATTTAGAAGCCGAGGAAGGGGCAGGTACGCCTGTCGAGGCAGAACCAAAAGCAGGAACTTGTGGAGGAGGTGTTGCCGATGGCTGTGTTCGACGATTCCAATTAGGATCCGGTGATGGATTCCGACCATGAAAATCGTCATAGTATCCGCCCCTTCCGCGTCCGCGAGCTCCTCGTCCCCTACCGTATCCACCACGGAAAGATTGCAGAGCATCAGAAGGCGAGGCAGCGGGTAAAGGTCCGTCCCTCGAGCCTCTGCGCGCGAAACGGTCTGAATCCTGGCTTGGCGGGGGGTCTCGAATGGGTTCGCGAGAACCGTAATTTGGTGATCGACCTCTGCCTTGAGGTGATGATGGTCTGCGACCTCTGAAGCTATCACCCCGCTCCCATCGATCACGATCCCGACCTCGATCATCACGAAATGGCGGAAGCGCCCTGTCGTCTCTTGGACTTCTATATTCACGTTCAGGCTCCCGAGCTCTATCCCGACTATCGTCACGCCAACCGCCTCGCCCTCGAGGTCGTCCCCGCGAACCTCGGAAATCCCCTCTATAACCGAAGTCGCCTCTGAAGTCCCCGCCGTAGCTGTTTGCACGAGGGCCACTGGGAGCTCCATCAATTAAAGCTTTTGGGCCTCGCGGTGGCTCGCGCGGAGGAAAATCTCGACCTGAGTCGCGTCCACTGGACTCTCTGAAGCTGTCTCTGTTTGATGAAAAGTTTGGCCTTGATGAGGAATCGATCGACCTCCGTCTCTCCCCACCCCGTGCGGAACCACCTCGATAATCATCTCGAAATTCATTATACCGTCCAGGCGACCGTGATCGCGGAGAGCGACGAGACTCGCCCGAATCATATGCAGGATTTCTGGACGACCTAGCATTCAAAAAATTAGCATTGAAACGGGGAGTTTGATCAGAATACCGACATTCATGTTGAGGGGCAATGGCCCTATGGAAACCGCAACCAGGATTTGATTGTCGCCAGTGGTAGTGTCCAGATGCGACAAGATGCGTATTACTCTATGTGCTTGCTGGTCGTTGCAATGTTGATGAGGTATCTCGTAGACACGCTTCTGCCGCCTGGCAGGCGCTGAAAGAGAAGGACGACACAAAAACGCAAGAGAGTGAAATTGGCGGTCGTAATTAATGTCCTATCGCGGCTGAATAGTCGTCATGAACCCTCAACCAGGTTTCTGTAGATGTGTATGAGAGACGGGATGATGTTTTGAGAGCGCTCGCCTTGAAGATTCGATCTCGAATGGCTTATCCGCTAAATCGGCTAAATCGAAGCTAACAACCCCTGCACTTTGCGGCTCTAGGCCAAGCGCAGAGGCGCTCGGCTAAGTTATCGTCTATCGTCTTGTCTTGACGTTTATTTTTCCCCAGACTTCATAAATTGATATAAATATACAGCTTCTCCGGAAAAGGGTCCAACCCGCCCGCGAACCTTCTTTCGAAAGTGAAACTTTCCCTATTTAGGATCTTTCTTTTTGAACCATATCCATTTTCGCATATCAGTCTACCGCTACCGCCACCCCCACCAGCTTCCTCTCAACCCCACCATGGCGGCCTCTTCAGAGCAGCCAGGAGCCCCGCCCTCCTCTGTTACGGCTGCAGTGCTCGTCCAATCGAATGGAATGCCCGAGGGCTCCCAAAAGGTCGAAGAGTTGGATTTTAACAAGTTTCACGGCCGGGCAATAACAGTGGATGATTTGATTGGGGGCATGAATAACATGGGGTTCCAGGCAAGCTCAGTGGGAGAGGCGGTACGGATCATAAATGAGATGGTAATTAATCCCTCATTCTTCTCCCATAAGTTCAGGTCTAATATCCCACAGCGCGCATGGCGAGATCCCGAAACCTCCGACAAGACCACCATCTTCCTAGGCTATACATCCAACCTCATCTCCTCCGGTCTCCGCGGCACCCTCCGCTACCTCGCACAACACAATCATGTCTCTGCAATTGTCACTACTGCCGGTGGCATCGAAGAAGATCTCATAAAATGCCTTGGCGACACTTACATAGGCTCGTTCTCGACTCCGGGCGCCGAGCTGCGTTCCAAGGGCTTGAATCGCATCGGGAACCTCATCGTCCCGAATAACAACTACTGCCTGTTCGAAGACTGGTTGATACCCATCCTAGACACCATGCTTGAGGAGCAGGAAGCTAGCAAGGATACGGAGGAGCCCATCAATTGGACGCCGTCGAAAGTCATCCACCGCCTAGGGAAGGAGATCAACGATGAGCGCTCCGTCTATTACTGGTGCTACAAGAACAATATCCCAGTCTTCTGCCCCGCTCTCACGGATGGTAGTCTAGGCGATATGCTGTATTTCCATACGTTCAAGGCCAGCCCGAGACAGCTGAAGATTGATCTTGTCGAGGATATTAGGAAGATTAACACGATTGCCGTGCGGGCTAAGAGGGCCGGAATGATTATCCTTGGCGGCGGGGTCGTTAAACATCATATTGCAAATGCATGCTTGATGAGAAATGGGGCAGAGAGCGCTGTATATATCAATACGGCGCAGGAATTTGACGGGAGTGACGCAGGGGCAAGACCGGATGAGGCTGTGAGTTGGGGAAAGATTAAGGTCGGGGCAGATAGTGTTAAAGTATGTGTCACTTTGCAGAATCTTATTGTAGTAGCGCTTTTAGGATTGGCTAACGAGGATCAAGGTCTATGTCGAAGCAACGGCTTGCTTTCCACTCATAGTAGCGTCTACTTTTGCGAAAGACAAATGCGCCCCTTGAACAAGAAACAGAGGAGCAAAAAGAAAAAAAAAACAAAAAAAAGAAAAGAAAAATGCCTTTTGGACGAAAACTCCTCATTGTGCCTGTTATACGAGTGCCTGTATGCGAACCCGCCCTATCTACAATGCCCAGCGTCCCAATATCAGAACCGAAGAAAAAGGAAAAGAAACCGAATAATCAACACTCTCGGCAGTAAACCGGGTCTAGATGTTTGCACTACGGATCAGTCAATACTTTCCGTAGTTGCACTATGCATGAGGTAATTGTAGTGAGGAGCCTCAAAGAGTATCTGATCAATCAGTTTGTAAGTACCCACAAAGTTTGCCGAAAACAGTCATTCGAATTGTTGGAAAGGGAACTGACGCTTTTCTCGTATTTCTTGGAAGAAAAGGAGACTTTCCAGTTATTGAGCAAGTTATGAATCTGGATCCAGCTTCTCAGTTATGGAAAGCTCTCGGATATAGCTGGCGTCCCCTCAGACTCTGTCCTCGTCTCGTTGGGTGGCGGATCCGCCGTCTTTTGTAGATGCATATACTCGTCTACATAATCGTCGTCCGAACATGCCCAGCGTAGCCTCGATTCCGTCCTCGACTCTCTCGCCTGCTGGTGGTTGGCGAATCCCATTTGGGGCCGAGATTGTTACCTGCAAGCTTCTCCAGCTCATCGATGCTAGATTTGCCATTCTTCTTCTTGGGTGATTCGCGTGAACGTCCAGGTGGGAAATTTTGCCCCCCCTCCAGTAATTTACCAAGGCTGCTATGGAGCTCTATCAACTTCTTTAGGAATTCATCTTTGACAAGGACACCCAAAGATTCAACTGGTTGCTGGAAATAATTCTGGTCAATGAGATCGCTGGTCCCTGCTGTTGCCCACATAGCGAACTCCATTAGCGTGGTTATAAGTGACCGCATCTTAGCCAGAATCTGCTGGCTAATGAAGTTGGAACGTCTTTCGGCACAGATTTCGTCGAGGATTTTGGGTAATTGGGCGTGCATCTTGGCTTGCATATGATCCAGGTCGGCTGTCTTTAGATGCCCCAATTTCTGTAGGAGATTGTCTTTCAGCTGGTCCATTCTCCTCTTAAGACCATCCTGGAGAGCTTCTGCTCTGATTGCACCCATGTCGACACGTCTTCCCATCATAACCTCATGTGACATCTCCAACTGCTGTTCAACTTCGTCCTCTAGGAACATCTTTCTGGCTTCTTCTCGACTCCGAAATTCAGAATAAGCTAAAAGGAGTTAGCATGTTTCTTAATTCTGAGAAGGTGGCAGGTAGAGCCAAAACAACATCCCAAGCGCAACAAATAGTGTATGACGCATGGATCCGTTCAAAATGAAGAACAGTCATTCTTACCATTTTCAAGATTCTTTCTGAGATCCTCTTCATCTGGCTTGCCTTTCTTCTTGGGTCGACCCCTAGCTTTTGGAGCAGCCTGGGCTGGCTCTTTGTACCATCCCATCTGCCGGTCTCGCTCTTCCTCCTCCCTCTGAAGTGTCTTCTGGCGCTCCTGCTCCCTCTCTCCATTCCAACCCCGTTGTCTGCCTTTATATGCGAGCAGACCTTGATACATCTCATTCTCGTCCTTCTTCTTGCGTTCTTCTTTACGTCGAAGGAATTCCTGCTGCTCATTTTCTTGGTCCGAGATGGTTGCGTATTTGCGCTTGGGAATACTTTTGGACGGGCTCTTGGTAGTCTTGGGAGTGGAAGTTTTGATGTTCTGTTGAACGGGATGATCTTCGTTGCGCAATTCCTCTTGCTCTCCGAACTTCTGCGTGGGATCGTATTTTGAGGTTCTTGATCTGAATTGGACCGAATCCTCGAAGAGATTTTGATCGTTGACTCGGAAGGCCCCGGACCTGCCTATGGGTGAACCTCCGTCCGTCTGTCGTACGTTGGAAATGGTGGCACGCGGTAGTGGGGTTGAGAACACGGCGCGACCGATGTATTGCTGCTCTCCATTTGTATAAACCTCCAAGTCTTTGTTATTGGCATACAGTTCGGTCTGGCCAAGGTCTGACAGTGGGCCTTGATATATAGATCGTTCTGGGTTCATGTCTGCCTCTGGACGCGCAGTCGGATTTTGGTAATCGATCGGGTCAGGTTCGGTGCTGTCTGGATCGAAGTATGGACAATCTTCCGGACAGGATGCGAAATTGTCATTGGTGGAGCTGCCTATCTGGTTCTCAGGTACGTGATGTGGACAACGTTGAATTGTGGGAGAGGGTTGGTGATGGTTAGAGTCATCTTCTAAGCAGTCCGAGCAGTCTGAACAAACCGAGCAAGAGCAATCAGAGGGAGCTGAAGTGTTGTTACCGTCTAGACCTATCTCACCAAAGCGGGCAGGAGCATCTTCATCTTGCCGCGCCGACGCAATAGCTGAATGGGGCATCAAAGGATCGTCACCGACTGTGTCCTCAGCAGCGGTGTCTGTTCTAGTTTCGCGATCGTATATTTCGATCTGAGAAACACCAGTGCTTTGGTGACCACCGTTGAGTTCTCTTTCGAGGTAGGCTCGTCCGTTAGTCGCTATCTCTACTCCCGCAGCTCTGGAAAGTTCTCTCTGCTGCTCCCAGCTGTGAAGCCAAGGACTCTCTTCCCTCGAGAACCAGGGAGGAGGTCCAGTTTCGTCAGCCATGCCTGGAATTGCTTGATGGGTGGTGTGCGGGAAGGAGGACTGATGACCTAGGTCTAAAGAATGTGAGCGAAAGCCACTTCTCGTAGTTGCGATGTCACTTCGTTGTTCAAGGGCATTCCACGAAGATTCAGTTTCTCTAGAAGAGGGTTGGAGGTCTTTGTTAGGGATGTCCATAGGATGTCCGCCCTGTCTCGTAGTAGTGAGTCGGGAGGTTTGGTTAGAGTGGTGGGTGAGAAATTCGTTCGCGCTTGAAGGTCTCTGATCGAAGATTTCCAGATTGAATTCACTTTCTCTTGTCGTATCTCCCAACATCTGATCAGAGGGTTGTCTTGAGGCTTCACCCTCGGTAGACGCAACAGGAGCAGCTTGGCTAAGGAGTTCTGTTAATACTGTGTTTTCTGCGGCCTTTATTTGATTTTCCTCTTGAGACGCTACACGCGACATAGGAGGGCTTGAATACGCTCCTCCAAGGCTCTCAGTCCCATAAAGGGCATTGTTCAACACATCATGAACGTACTTAGTGGCATTGACTGTCGATCTATCTTCTAACGCGGATAGTGATTCATCGCGCAATGTCTCTGAGCTTTGGGTGAGTTCTTGTGTTAATGGGAGAGTAGTAAAGGGCGTAAGAAGAGAGCCAGGAGAGTTTGGAATAGGCATTGCATCAGGCAATAATGGCGCTGTAACCATGATGCTTTCTGTTGCAGCAGAATGTGTTACAACATGAGCAGAGTTATCAAAAGCTTTGCTTGGTTCTCCTGTGATTGTTCCCAACCAGTCGGTCGGTCTTGCTTTGTGATCGTTACTCATAATAGCACTTTGTTTTGATTGTTGTATGCTCTTCGTCTTGTTCGATTGATGAACCTTGGTGTTAAGGTCTCTGAATCTGTGGTTCAGATCTCGTGACTGGTCGCTGATCGTGAATTGGCAGGCTTAAAAGGCAACAAGACAGCAGCCGTATGAAATCGCTGTGTCTTCAAACCTATGCTCTTCCTTTGAATAGCAAATATCCTGGGCAATGAGCTCCACATATAAACACGCAAGCAGTTCGTTATGGGGAAATGGCAGAAAGGAGCAGCCTGGAAGAGGAAACCGAGTAAACAAACAACCTTTACCTGCTCCTACAACAAGTGATCAGTTGTGTGATTTGAGCCTCCCAGAGGTTAGGGCTCGTCTATAATCCAGACCTTATATTAATTACCTTAGACTAGGACAGCCCTACGATAGTCAAGATTCTTTGTGAACGGTCCCAAGAATTGTCTAGTCCTGGAAAACCTACCTAGTAACCCAGGTACTCAAAGAGAAGCTATCCGATTAGCAACCACCCCTTCTTTTGCTGGCTACTTAGATGCTCTTGATCCAGGAATCAAGAGCTATTGAACCTTGGTAATACCACAACGGCCATAGGTGCCTTCAAAATGCTGTGCGCTCAAGGTGAAATCAGCATCCCAACTTAGGGTCTATATCTTCTTCGAATTATCTCTTGTCTAGGTCTAAAATGACGTCTGATCTAGACCTCCCTTGAGTAGCTCACCCAAACTTCTCCTCCGAGCTAAGGTACACCAACCTTGAATGTATGTCGTGCCATAAATAGGAGATCTACCCGGCCCTAGATCATTGTAGCCTTGGAATTCAGGCCTCACGGGAGAGATTGGCGACTATCGAACGACTTTAATTCTACTACAAGAAATCGTTTACTTGGTTCCCAGCGCTCTACGAAAGGCCTCATTAACTTGCAGGTCCTGTCCTGATCTCGCCGACAAGTAATCGAAAATGTCTTCCCTTTACAACCTGGAACCACAACCTACTGCATCCTGCATTCTACATACCACCTCCGGCGACATCAGTCTCGAGCTCTGGGCCCAACAGACGCCTCTCACCTGCCGAAACTTCCTCCAGCATGCTCTCGATGGCTATTACGATGGGACCATCTTCCACCGATTAGTCCCAGGGTTTATTCTACAAGGTGGTGACCCAACAGGGACGGGGCATGGCGGCGAGAGCATATACGATGGCGGCGCATTCTCCGAGCCTAGGGAAGAAGGGGGAATATGGCCCATGGAAGATCGAAAGGGTGCGAATGCCGGGATGCGGGGGGTGGGATTCAAAGATGAGTTCCATAGCAGGTTGAAGTTCAATCGCAGGGGATTACTGGCGATGGCGAACGAAGGGACGGAGAACACGAATGGAAGTCAGTTCTTCATTACGCTTGGGAGCACACCAGAATTACAGGGAAAGAACACACTGTTTGGACGAGTGGAAGGCGACACGATTTATAATGTTGCGAGGATGGGCGAGATGGAGGTTGGCGAGGGGGATAGACCTACTTATCCGGTCAAGATTACGGGTGTAGAGATCCTGGTCAATCCATTTAAGGATATGGTTAGGAGGGAGAGAGTCGCGGAGCCTGTGATCCAGAAGGCGCCGGAGAAAAAGAAGAAGAGGAAGGCTGGGAAGCAGCTGTTGAGTTTTGGGGGCGAGGAAGGTGATGAGGAGGCGGCGCCGGTTGTGAAGAGGACGAAATTTGACACGAGGATTGTGATGGATGCCGGGAATGTTGAGCCAGAGCCAAAACCGGAGCCTGAGAAGGAAACCAAAAAGCAAGTCAGGAAACCGGTGTCGGTCGAATCGTCGCCTGAGCCAGCGCCAGCACCAGCACCAGCACCACCAAAAAGTCTCCCTAATCGCGCAGCGAAGGTACAAAGTCGAGATGTCTCATCTTCGCCGGAGCCTGAACCGGTTCAAAAAGTGTCGTCGGCTCTTGATCGCACGAATGCGCAAATAGCCGAGCTCAAAGCATCTATGAAGCGTAACATCCAAGTTGCACCTGTCAAAGAGAAGAAGAAATCTGCTCTTGAGGAAATGATACCTGCAAATTCTACGCGTGGCCGGAAACGAAATCCAGGGGGCAACACATCGTCGCAGGCTGACCAACGAGCATTAGATATTCTGAATGCGTTCAAAGCGAAACTTGCGCAAGCGCCACCTGAAAAGGAAGTCTCGAAATCCACCAAGCTTGAGGATGACCCTGAGCGAAAGGATGGAGAAGCAGCAGATGATGAAGAAGCGGCACTTTGTGACCTTCACTTTATCGCTAATTGTCAATCGTGTAAGAAATGGGATGCCGAAGAAGAAAAGGAAGAAGAGGAGGAGGATGATGGAATTGGGTGGATGTCACATGCGTTGAGTTTCAAGGAGGACAAGTTGGGGAAGGACCTTAGTTACAGGAAGAAGGCAGAAGAGGAACTCGTGGTTATTGATCCAAGGGAGAAGGCGAGGACCCTCAAGGAAGAGAAGCGAGCGCAGAGAGAGGCCAAGGCTGGTGGGACTGGTAGAGCCTGGGACCAAGCGCGGAACGAAAAGCTGGCTAGAAGCGCGGCTCTGGCAGGGAGAGGTGCTAAGTAGAGCGGATTGTGAAAGGACAGATTGCCTGCAGGTGTTTTCTGGGCGCTTCCTTGAACGACCATTCCCCTACGCATGAAAGGTCTGGCGTGGGTTGAGATAGGATTATGGATGAACCAACGATGACCTTTTGCGGTCAAAGTGCTTAGTAGTTTATCGCGCAGAGACCTCCACAAGGATTGCGCATGGGAGAGGCAAAATACATTATACCCCTTATATTCCACGTAAAAGATGCTGCCAGGTGAATATCACGAATATCACCACATTACGTGCTGTTCTGAGTTGTAATCAAGACCACACACAGCCTCGTGCTTCCGCAGAGGATCTCCCTTCTTATAAGAACCGCACCATGACGGCGAGGCTGTGGAGATAAAGTTAAGCTTGACTTCAGCCTCATGCGGCTCCATTGGCTGAGTAAGCGAGGGACGGCTTGTGTCCCGGAAATCGCTGACGTTGTGGTGGAAAAGAATCCCCAGTTGTCAAAATCAGTCCACGAAAACCTTACCCTTCTGGTCTCCAGCACAACAACATTTGACAAAGGACGATCTCCGCTGCTCATCGACAAGACAATGAATTGGCTTCCAGTGACTTAGTCCTGCGCTGAGCTTTTGAAACCTCGCTGAAAGCCTTGCAAAGAAGGCTGGAATCATATGAAACGACTTACAAGAAGATAGGTCTAGATCTGCAGTATCCCGAACTCCCCGCCTTGCCCCAGGCACAACGAGTTATCCGCCATCCAGTCTCAGCTCTTTGTCGCGAACAATAGATCTTCTCTGGAAGCTCCTCAGAACATCTACCATTGGCACCGCCGTCCCTTTCAGACCCGCGCCGCATTTAAACCATTCGACCTGGCTACCACAGGACCATCTGCTCCCCTCCGGCGCCAACCAGAATCTCCACGACGATCCAGCAGTCAAACGGCGGAAAACAGAGGATACAGAGGATACAGAGTCTTTGCGAATACCTTCCGAGGCTATCGGTACGGATAAGATAGCGGAGGCGGCCCGGAAGGCTGCAGTCAGCCTCGACTCCACCCGATCTTTCACCAACCCACACATCTGCGAGAGGAACCTCCAATCGTCCCTTTGACCGCCGCCTCACGGTTGAGACTTCATATGCCTCCTATGAACCCCAGAAAACGGGCAGCCCCTGGAGCAACACCGGTTACGCAAACGCCTCAAATGCAACCAACGTATACTGCACCCAGCCAGCTCTCGAATGGCGACTTAATGCAATGGAATCAGGCTCCTGACAACTCAAACTTTCCTGATCCATCTGCATTCAATCTGAACGATTTCGGTGCCAGCGCGGGGGTGTCGCAGCCGCAATATGATCCATCGATTCCTGCACTCTCGACACAGTTGGCACGCCGACCGATCAATCGGCAACTTGTCCAAACCGCACAACGTCCACCTTTCGACAATACTGCAGATCCTTGGGGCCAATTTGGAGACGAGACAATGCTCGATCCACAAAACGTCAACGGCGCGATGGAAGAGAATGATAGTATTGAGCTGCTCGAGGAGAGGGCTGCTATCGCGAAGAGAGAAGCGCAATCAAAGCGAAAGCAGATCCCTCCGTTTGTGCAAAAGCTAAGCAGGTACGCGTATAGCCCTTCTTTCTACTTCTGATCCGTCTGCTGACCTGTTTGTGTAGTTTCCTCGACGAATCCAAGAATACGGAACTGATTCGATGGTCAGATCGAGGCGATTCATTCATTGTGTTAGACGAAGACGAGTTTGCTAAGACCTTGATACCCGAGTTGTTCAAGCATAACAACTATGCATCTTTCGTCCGTCAGCTGAACATGTACGGCTTCCACAAGCGGGTTGGATTATCAGATAATTCCATGAAAGCCAGTGAGCGAAAGAACAAGAGCCCCAGCGAATACTACAACCCATACTTCAAGCGTGGGCATCCCAACCTGCTCTGGCTCATCAACAAACCGAAAGGTGGATCTACGAAGACGACCAAGGAGAAGAGGAGACTCAAGAGTGAAGATGGACAACATGATCCAGATAGTGATGAGGACGGAAGAGATATTGAGGAGACATTCTATGGTAACCACCAGGGAAGCCGGGCAATCTCAGCCGCACCAGAATCTGGACCTCTCCAGAGGAGGGAGATAGCCGTCGTCCAGAGCCAGCTGGCCGATATTCAGAAGCAGCAAAATGCTATCTCTCAGGCAATAGCTAGACTGCGGAAGGACCATAACCAGCTCTACCAGCAAGCTATTGCTTTCCAAACATTGCACGACAGACACGAAAGCTCGATCAATGCCATCCTCACCTTCCTTGCCACTGTCTACAACCGGAGTCTCGATGGACAGGGCCCGCAGAATTTCGCACAGATGTTCTCTAATGGCATCCCCCAAGACCAGCAGCATCAGAACCAAGGAAACGTCGTCGATATTGGAGACCTTGCAAATCGACAGGAGCCAAACCCCGGCAGCCTAAGCCCTGGTCGCAGACAACAACGTCTCTTGATGGCACCACCAATTCCAGGCCTGGCGAGCAGATCATCGTCTGTAGTATCTAACCCCCCACCATCCCGGAACCAGTCAAAAATGCACGTCCCCGGATCAGTCGAAGAGCTTTTCGAGCCTACGTCTGAGTCTCCGCGTGTCAAGCCTGAACAAGACCAGCAAGGTATGATGAACCTGATCAACAATACCAATGCACGAAGCGGCGGCGAGAACAAAGGCATGAAATTCCCGGAGATGCTCTCACACTACGAAAACTCCAACGGCAACTCGCCCCTCACTCCCGATCAACGCAGCACGATGCTCAACATGATCGCGACTCAAGCGTCGACTCCCGGAAGCAACAATGCACTCGTCTCCCCCACGCCACCAGAACCACCCAGCCTCGAAGCCTTGGGCTACACGCAAGCCGAGATCGAAGATCTCCTCCGCATGCAATCGACGCAAGATGCGCGTATCCAAGAAGTGCGCAACTCGGTCAACTCGGTGGCTCCCTTCTCACCGACCAGCAACCTCGCCAACCTCAACGAAAGCAGCTACTTCAACGGAACCGACACGACGGACCCCAACGCCGCCAGCCTCAACCTCGACCAATTCCTCGACACCGAAGCCTTCTACAACGGCAGCAGTCCCAACGGCGGCAACGCCGGCTTCTACGACGGCTACGGCGATAGCCAATTCGATCTCGGCATGGATGGCGCTAATGACACCAACCCCGCGCGCATCATCGAAACGTCTAATTCCAGCGAAGTCAACTCACCGGAGAAAGAAGCCGACGACACAACTACTGCTACTGCTGCTGCTGGTGGTGCTTCCACGGTCCCGAAAAGCAGCGCAACACGAAGTCCGAGTAAAAAGAGACGAAAGAACTAAAAGCTGGATTTTCTTCATCATCTTCATCATTCATCATCATCATTATCGGAGCGCGGCCGGAGGCGGTGGGAGTTCTGATGGCGTTCTTTCTTTCCTTTTTTTCCCCCTTTCATTTTCTCTCCTTCTCTCCCTCTCTCTCCTTTTTCTTTCCCTCTTCTGAATGGACTGGATGAAACAGCATAGACGAAGACGAAGACGCAGACGAAGTCAAGTGAAAAAAACATAAAATGAAAAGAATTCATACAAATACAAATACAGTACAATACACTACATAACAATGCTATGATATGCTATGATATGGGGGTTGGAGTTTGGTGGCTGTTGTTGTTGGTAGGTAGGTGTGCTGTGGTGGATGGATGGAGTGTGGTGTGGTGGAGTGTGGTGTGGTGGAGTGCGATTTGGTTGGGTTGGTTTGTGTTTGTGTTTGTGTTTGTGTTTTGATTCTGATTTTGATTTGAGATAGGCAGGTTGGCAGGTTGGCAGGTTGGCATGGATGAATGGATGGATGGGTATACATATGAATGAGCGAGCGAGCGAATTGATTGATGATGAATTGATTTACCTTCCTTCCTTCTTTTCTTTTCATGTGAGATCATGTGCTCGTGCATACCTACGAGTGACAGTGGAGGTGATAACTACGAGGGAACGGGGGAAAAAGAATCACACGAAGCTACAGCAAGAAGCAGAAGCAGAGAAAAGCAAAGCAAAGAAGAATTTCATAGTCCTATTATGCCCACCGACGCCGCATATATTTCCTAAAAGCACATAATTCGATTCGATTCGATTTCAAGCCAGTCAGTCAGTTCAATCAATCAATGCAATAATTCCCATGCGAACATCGAACATCACACACGCAGCCTCTTTCTTTCTTTCTTTCTTCATTTGCAAGTCTTCCCTTCGTTGGTTTTTTTGTTCTTTCCTCCTTCCATTCTTGCTTTGCAAAAATCATCCCTCATCCCTCATCCCTCCTCCTCCCCATCTCCTTTATTTCCTTCATCAGAATGGGGAGGAGCGGCGCAATGCGTACGTACAACAAACAGACAGAGAAAAATGGGATAATTCAAGACATTTCAATATTCAATACTCGCGAGGACGAAAATGTGGAGCCAACAGAAACAACAGACATGAAGTAGGAGTACAGGATTTTTTTTCTTTTCCAACTTCCCATCCAGCCAGCCACCCAGGAGACCAACCAGTGGTCAGTTAGTTGGTGCGCGGGGAGGTTGTGAAGGATAGGCCGTTCGTATGCGAGAAAGACCACCTCGCGTCCGAGGCGGAGTTCATCAATAATAAGCGATCGCTAATCTGGAGGAGAGCTCGTGTGCTGAGGTCTGGCAACCTCTTATTAGTCGAGATCCAGCAGCAGGGCGATCGGGTAAGGGTCCAAGATTAAGTATCCAGACGGAAGAAGGAAGTCATAGCAGCGTCAATCGTCATGGTTGCCCAGTCGCTGTATTCGTGGTATCCTAATTTTGAGTTCGTGGTTTTCGTCAAGTGTATTTTGGAATTTTAGATTCTTGCAGAAGTTGCAGAGCGAGATTCGTCCATCGTCCCGTCGTTGATGAGTTACTCGCGCATACGTATATATACTGAAAGAACCGATGGGCATCAGTCCGAGAGAGTGTCGTGTCCAACAGCCGGGTGCAGGGCAGGGGGGAGGATAATTACAGAGGAGCAAGTCGCAGAGATGAAGCTAGCGCCGACAATGAACATGATGAGGTGACTCGTTGGGGGGGAGGAGCGAGGGATAATGACGTTTAATCGTCAGTGGGCATCTAGCCTAGACTGATGATCCGCTTTGGTATGCGACGCGATGCCACTTCGCAAATGTCTATATGTCGTAACGTCGTGAGGACTCTCGGGCGAGAATCTACATGTATCGTGAAGTCGTGGAGGACGTACCGTTCCGGTCGGAGGAATCTTGAGCACTGTTATCATCCCAGCTCTTCTCGGCGGTATTCAGATCAAGCTCACCACTGCTGCCTCTGTTGACATGGCCATTCTGTCTTGGTCTAGAGAAACCCGAGCCCCATTCGCTACCCGGTCCTCTCGGCTGCCTCTCCGGTACAGCCGATGCTCCATTGCGGGCGCTCTCATCATAGCTGCCGTTGACCGGTCGTTGGCTGCCGATTGGCCCCGCTGCGTTGGCTCGAGTAGCACTTGGTCGATCAAACCCCAGGGTCAGGTTGTTGAGCCCGTTGATAACAAAGTCACTGTCGCGGCTGTTCATGCCGCTAGCAGATGTAGGGGTGAGATTCGGGGTTCCAGACGCGGCTGTTGAATGGCCTTGGCCATAGCTGTCAGTGTATCGAGAGGCATTCTGGGTCAGGCCAGGTGCTGGCGAGGGTGAGTAGGATCGTAGATCAGCAAACGACTTGGCAGCTCGGAGGTTCTGCGCGGCACCTAGACCGCCCAATCCGGGAGAGCCAGGGATATCAAGGAGGCCAGAGGATTGTCGGCCCAACGTATGGTTGTAGTAGTTGGGGTCTCGAGACTCGCTGAAGTCAATCGTCGCTGCACGGTTCAAACCTCGCCGCTGTGACTCGTTGAAATAGCCGGACTGGAGCTGAGGGACCGGCGGGCTGATCTGGGTGGGTCTTGATTTGAGGATCTGAACTTGGCGCATCTCCGCCTGCCCTTCCGACCTATGCTCGAGACCCATGTGGTGCGCGAGAGTGTGGATGGTTCTGCGCTGCTCGGGTGTGATGGTGGTTGGGAAGATCAATGTCTCGCGACTAGCGTCTCCTTTGAAGAGCATGAGGTCAGTGTAGAAACCGAGGGTCGTTGGATCGTTCAAGTCGAGATCTAGAGGAGTCAGCTAGAGTTAGGAATGGATGAGACTTGAGAAGAATAGGATGGGTACTGACCAAGTTTGTTCCCAGAACGCTGAGAAATCGGCGACGGCGACGTTGCAGGTATGTTGGAGTTCAGAGAGGTCACCGAGCCTTGGTTGTGAAGCTGGGTCGGGTTCATTGGTTGGTGTTGTTCCTGCAACTGTCCGCGCCTCTCCCTCTTGTCTCGCTCGATGCGGTCGCGCTCGGCAGCTGGTAGCATCTTCTTGTATTCAACCCTCAGCTTCCTCCCCTGAAGCTCCAGGTGGTTCATGACATCGATGACCTGCTGGGTCTCCTCGGCGGTGGTGAAGTTGGCAAAGGCCAAGCCCCGGAAGACACCGTTGTCGAAGTGGTAATTGAACGCGTAGGGAAGGGGGAGGTGCATGTCGGTCATGATCTGGATGAGCTGCTCCTTCTTGACGGCGAAGGGAATGTTCTTGACGACGATGGCGGTTGGGATAAGCTCATCCGAGTCCATCGCAGGGGAGACTCGCGTGGATTGATTGGGCGCGTGCGGGAGATAGCCGTTCATCTGCATCATGTTGGGGAGGGCGGGCATCGGGGGCGGACCCATCTGCTGCTCCATCCACGGCTGAGGGATGGGATCAGTACGAGATGCTGCATCGGGGGGATGGAGAGGATTGCTTACCACGGGCAGCCTGGGCCGGCCTTGGGACTTTGCTCGACCGGTCCCGCCCATATTCGAGGTCGGGTTTGCTCCGCCATAGCTCCAGGTCTGATTTTCATAAGGATAGTTGGAGGTGAGGGTCGCGGACGGGATCCTATCAAAGCGGGCAGGGGGCTCGTATCGCTGTGCATGATCCTCTGCAGTGTAGAGGCCCGACAGCGACGCATTGGCGTAGTCAAAGTGCCGTGACGGTTGGCGATTCAGGGTCAAGCCAGCATAGCCACGGCTGGTGCCCGGCGAGCGGTTCGAGGGGTAGTCCTGGTACATGTCTGCGTACTGTTGACTCATGTTGAGCATCCAGCGGGCGACAGAGCTCTGAGATGGTTGGGGGGGGGGGGGAGGGGGGGAGAAGCGTCTGTTGCGGGAGCCCAGAAGGGGGATGCAGGGAGCCGACAGAGGCAGGCTGTGGAAGCTTGCAAGGCCTGCTCCAAAGCTCACGAACGCGTGCAGCTGGGAGCGTACCGCGAGAGCAAGCGGCGAGATGCCGAGAGAGGCTTTGTCTGTAGGAGCGGCAGACGCTCTGCCAGGCTGGAGGAGGGATAATTCGAGGAGGATGGAGAGCGGTGGATGTTGGTTGTGGGCAGGTAGGAAGTGTTTTCTCCTCGGGGCGACCACCGCAGGGACGGGGGTGATCGCAGTCAAGGCGAGGAGGTCGACGAGAGGATGGGTGGTTTCGAGAACCAAGAGACGTCGACGAAGGGAGGATTGCGCAGACGGCAGAGCAGGTCGCAATCGGGGGAGGATGGTGTTGTCTGTTGCGGATGGGGGGGGGGGTTGGTGGGTGAGTTGAGGGAGGGAGAAGTGACTTTTTGAGTGTCTCTCGTCTCTTTCGTCTCTCGCAGCCCAAACTGAGGCGCTAGACCGCAAGCAACTAGCGGCGAGGATGTCTGCCTGAGGCGGCGCCGCGCCAGAGTCTTTCTCGCTTGCGACTCGCTACGCGCTGCTCGCTACTGCACCCGGCGACGGCCTTGGCCCAATGGTTCATGGATCGATGATGCACTGTACCCTCCCACGCGCAGAGGTACCAGGGAACGGAGGGACGGGAAGGACGGGGGACGGGGAACGAGGTCAAGAATCGTGGACGAGGACGAGCACGAGGCTTCGAGCCAGTGACGACACGGATGCGTCCCACGGATACTCGTGATATCAAGGTCGACTGCGAACAGGCGGGTGCCGTGCTGGGGGGCGAGCTGCCGTGTGTGAGCGCGATGGGGCTTGGGGCCGGGGGCTAGAGCTATCGTGCAACGTGATCAATAACGGGGTTCCCGAGACTGCGGGCAGGATGCGCAAGGTACAGGACAAGTCCCGACGGAACGAAGCTCGCGGACGCTGGGGACTGCTGGGACTCGGAGGCTAGATGCTGAATGCTGGATACTGGATACTGGATACTGAATACTGAATACTGAGACGGGGTGCTGGGTGCTGGGTGCTGGCTGAAGGTTGAAGGTTGAAGACTTCCAGGACGGGGGGCATGCAATGCAGAAAGCAGACGGTGACCGCGATGGGGCTCTTGCTCTTGCTCGGGGGGAACCTCACCTATAAGGCCGTCGCTCGGCAGCGCGATCCAGAGTTATATATACGCGTACCGTGTTCTGCCTCCACGACGGTCTGGCAATGTGATGCGATGCGTGGGCGGCTAGTGCTCCTCAGCAGAGAGCGCGCGCGCGCTGTTGTCGTCAGTGAGAGTAATGACGCTTGGCTTTCGCGTTTAGAAAGACGGTACAGCGGTACGACATGGTCATCTAGCATGGCTTAGGGGCATTCCATGTCCTGGCTGCAGTCTGGATTTCAATAGTGATCGCGCTTCGTAGCGTGTCTGCATAGCGGTAGTCACAGTAATGTCGAGGTCTGGGACGCGCAGAAATGATGGATGGTCCTCTCCAAGGGAGAGACTATTAACATTATCTACAATACAACTCACCGCCGAGTGGAGTAGACAACTAAGGTAGTCTTCAGGTACCATCTCTATTCCCAAGCTCTAGTCTCTAGTTGACCAGAATCAATTCTTCTCGATCGTTGAGCTCCCAGCGAGTCCCTCCCATTCCCTATTACCTGCCCTGTTACTTACTCTTCGCCCCGTGGGGTCAGACAGTGCGATTAAGGGACCTAAGATCGCAATATGGTAATCTCCTTAAATATCCGATTCCTGAATCGCTACACGTCTACCAGGCACCGTGATTCAAAATTGTTTGTATTTAAGCTCTTCTGTTCAATTACTTGCAGGTGGGTTTGCAGGACCCCCCGTTCCGTGCAGCTTTCCAATGCACACTAATTGTAGACACTCGCTGCCTTGAAGATCTCTCATCTCTCATAACGACCTCCAGGCTTTATTCATCCCGTCGAGTGCCAAAAACCGCGATCTATCCCTCGATTCAGGGACGTCAAACGTCTGCCTGCTTTACCAACCGTTGGGAAGACCCTTCCTTACGTATTTATCTTCAACGAACCCCATCACGCTCGTCTGCCACTATTCAGCTCTATCAAGAGCCATCGTCGTCTCAACAGACCACTCAACCAGAGGGTCCCTTAGATGTGACGCTCGAGAGTTGGTTACCCAAAAGTACCTCAACCTGGATCCCTAACATTGACGCCATTGACGCCATCGTCACATTAGTTGCCAGTCCTCGTAACCTCCCGCCTTTCCAGTTCCCTCATCCCGAAAACCCAACTCTCGTAGCGTCAGTCCTTGAGAGACGACAAAGCAATGGTATGAAGTTACCAGGTCAAGATCCATCATCCACGTCCGTCTGGTACTGGAACCCTGGGCACTTGCCATGACGGAGAAAGAACAGCTAGGATAACAGGAGGTCCTATCAGCTCGTGTGCTCGACACCGAAAGGGACTCGGGCGGCACGGTCCGATAGATGATCCTTTATTTATCCTGGCAGCCGCGGTAAGCCGAGTGTTTTTGCCTGGATCGGCTCAACCACCTTGACCATCATCATAAACCTCATATATCATACGACGTTTCTCGCAGAATACTAATACTCACAGCTATCTGTCTCTTCTCTCGACCTCTCCGCCAGTATCCGCTGGGCGCGCACGTTGGCTCCCGATGATGTATTCCGAAAACCTTCCTCACAGGATCCGCGCGAACCAAATCCAATTTCCAAAAAACCCACGCGACGCGAATATTATTAGGACAACGGCGCGGCTCAATCTCGATAGAGTTCGTTCTAGAATCTAGGGTTAGGAGCTTTTCGGTTCTGGGACTAATCCGTCTTGTCGTCGAGTCGTCGTGTGGAGTTCCCCCCCCTCCCCCTTTTTCCTTGAGTGAGGCCGGTTATGGATTATTACTGTCTACGTATAGGGGACGGTCAGGGGACGGTTCATCCATACAATCTCTCCTCCCTCCATCCATCCACAGACATTACCGCACTCCATATAATCAATCAATCAATCACTTCGTCTCTCTCCAGCATAATCTCCATACTATTAATACTTGCCCATAATACCTATCATCCCCCTTTCCCAACCCCGAAGATCCCATGTCCCTCCCACGTATCCCATCCCTGATGATCACTATTTGCTCGCTCAGCCGATCAGCGAATAATCTCCTCCCTACTAACCCACCGAACCCGTTTAGCGGCGGCGCGAAGCGAACCGGGCGATCTGCAGGTACGTGTTTTTGACGTTTAGGGATTATTTGATTTGGAGGTCAGCGTATAAAATTAATTAATTTGTTTGTTTGTTTTCAAAGGTACGACTGTATGTATGTATGCGAAATAAAACATGCAGACTTGACTTGGCTATTTATCGCTCACTGTTTTATTACGCTGGCAATCGCGGTTGATTCGGCTTTTTCTTCTCTTGATGGACGATGGACTGAAAGCTGCTGTAGGTAGTTCCTTTATAGCACAACGACGTTCCTCAACATACGAACAGGATTTTTCCCGTACACTCGCCCTCTATACATCCAAAATATCTTCTTCTTCTTCATCTTCATCATCAAGAAGAAGAAGTTCTTTTGCAAATCCCCAACCGTCTTCAAAGCAGACTCATAAGCACCCGTCCAACAATCCCGAACAATCTCGCCCCCTCCTCGCCGAGTATCCAAAGACCGGAAACTGGCCCTCCTGATATCTGGCAATTATCTCGGCTTCATCATCGGGATCCAGCTCTAGGAACGGCTCATGACCACCGGTCATGATATAATATAATAAATCGCAGAACCTACCTAGAGCAAAGATTGATATCAGTTTTTTGATCTGCGTACCTAGTAGTTCGGATCAGAGCAGAGCGAGGCATATATATATATATATATGATTTCACATTCTCCGATGCAAGGCAAAGCCATCAAGAAAGAATCACAGTCCCGTCTGGTGATAAGTATCGCTCGCTCTTGCAAATCCGCATATTTACCTAACGTTAAGATCTTTCTTTGTCTAGGAGCAGATTGATTGTTGGCGTTGGTTGGTATCACAATGAAGAAAGAATTCCTGATTTATGCATATATGTACGCCAACGGCCTGCCGTGTCCATTTAAATCTCAGATGTATCGATACTCTATCATTATCCCAATCCTCATGCGCCAGATACCTACTGTGCTATAGATCCATTTCTCGCATCCCAGTATATCCATCACAGCCCTTAAACTTGATAATCCGATCATGATCATGATCATGATCACCCAGAATCTCATAGGTAAATCTGGGCTTCGAAGCGAGCACGGCGGATTAGGATTCTTGGCTTGCGCTTATTTAAGCAAGCACGGTATCTTCTTCTTCTTCTCGGTCCGTAAGGTAAGGCCTAGAAGATGGGGAAGCTGGATAGATGCTATGATATGATGGGATGGCCTTGAGAGACGCCGGGGGGGTAGTAATGTGTGATTTTTTGGATTTTGGATTTTGGGAGCGGAAGACATCTTGAGAGATTTGAAGGGGAGATGCGTGAGACCTCAGATGGTTGATTGGCTGGATGATGATGATAATGATTCTTGTTCACTCGCATATATATCATATCATATCGTTTTCTTCTGGCAAGGAAAAATAAAAGCGTACCTATCAAGTAACGAAAGAAGCCTCCAAGCAACATTTCGCTTTAGTTTTGTAACTTTGTATACCCACGACGCTCGGTCTTTTAGATTTATTATTTAGCTTAGGCCGCAAATCCAATCGTTAATACTCATTGTTATCAAGATATGCATCTATATCAAGATATCCTTTTTTAGAAGGAGATCACTGATGTATGTCGATTGAATTTGAATGCGGATAGATAAATAAATCAATCGTGAGAGAGAGAGAGAGATTAATTATGTGATAAGAGGTAGGAGATAGGTAGGTAAGGGAGGGAGAGGAGAGGAGAGGAGAGGAGAGGAGAGGAGAGGAGAGGAGAGGAGAGGAGAGGAAGAGGGAACGAGGGATAGATGGATGGATAGATGGATAGATGGATGGACGGAGGTGATTGTGCTATTTGGTGGTGGGCTTTTTGGTCATATGTTGAGTGCGGGAGTTGTGGGAATGGAAAGGAAAGGATTGCGAGGTTTGCTCTTATGTTTATGTATATTTATTTAGCTAGCAGACACTACCAGCACGCAAAGTCCAAGCTCACTCACCACTGCCCAGGTCATGATCTGTGTTTCAAGACTACCTTACACAATCCAACATGCAACTCCGAAACGTCCCAATAGAACCCGTTGAACGCCCAACCAACCTATGCATGATCCCAGCCTCTTTCTACTACTGAGCACCGCCCAGCAGCTCCGCGCCATTCCGCACCACGCCTACCATGGCGCCCGTCTGCACCATCTCGCTTCCGCCGCCGCTGAGCCGGTACTCAACCTCCGCGAGGCCATCGAGCCAAGTCACCATGACCGCGGCGGGGACATCCAGCTTGGTCAGTTCGTCGCTCAGCGCCGTGATGATGTCGGCGAGCGCGAGGCCCTGCGAGGCTTTCAGGGAATTGATCATGGTGAGGCAGGACGTGACATCGGGCGTCTTCAGGAGCGTGTTCAGGATCTTGCTAATGTCGTCGGGGTGCGGCGATGCGATACATTCGTAGATAGTCGTCGCCGTGATTAAATCCCGGACGATGTCTTTCTCCGCCGTTTTGGGCGTGCCTTTGACGTGGAGGGGTGTGCCTGCTTGGGTGAGCCCGAGTCTAGAAGTACGCCGTGTGGGAATGGGAAGACTTGGGAATGGGAAGACTTACTGCTTGCGTGACAGGCTTGGAGAACATTCAAGGCTCGTCGCATATCTCCCTTGCTGAGTCGCACCAGGGCATCCGTGGCCTCGGGACTGATGTTTACGTTCTCTTCCATAATCACTTTATCTACCAAGACCCGAATATCCGCCTCCTTTAACGGACTGAACCTGAATCTCGTACATCGACTCAGCAGTGCTGGACTGAGCTTATGTGTGTAATTCGCAATGATACAGAATCTCGTGTTCGCCGTATATTTCTCCATGATCCGCCTCAACGCCATCTGGGCCGTAGACGTCATCGCATCCGCCTCGTCGAGTATAATAAGCTTGTATGCCGCAATTGATGTGGGAGAACTCGACTTCATGTTGAAGATCTGCTTCGTGCTGGCAAAGGTCTTGATCTGTTCCCGCACAACGTCGATACCACGATCATCCGAGGCGTTGAGTTCCAGAACCATCTGCCGCATATTCGAGCCATAGATTCGACGGGCAAGAGCGAGGATTGTGGACGTTTTACCGGTGCCGGGAGGGCCATAGAGGAGAAGGTGGGGAAGTCTCTGTTGTTGCGTTTGTTAGCACTGCTCTGCTCTGCGAGAATGACATTTATTTCACTTACGTTTGTATCTACAAACTTGTTGATTGTTGCGAGAATATCTTGATGGCCAGAGACATCTTCTAAAGTATCTGGACGGTATTTCTCGACCCTAGAACGGTCAATAAATTCAACATGGAGGGGAGCCAATGCTCTTACCATGGCAGGCTGTCTTCGGCCTCAACTGGTAGGTTGGCAGCGCTCCGCTTGCCTTTCGAATTGTCTGAACTGAACGTGATCGCATCGCGTGCAGCCGGGGCATCCACATCCATCTCATCTTCGTAGTCCGACATCTTTGCGGTGCGCTTTGTTCAGTCGAAGGTGCTGGAGGAATTTCTGCAACTTCACCAGACGCGTCGTCGCGTAAAGTGCTCCAGATAGGTCACGTGGTTCCCCGCTACTGAGTTGGCCTCACGACGGCATCTTACCTAGGTACTTTCAACACGGCAGCACTTCAGCCAGAAGAACAAACACGACCCATTTGTATTCTAAGGTGATATATCAGCCCAGAGTTGAGCATGAGGAGATCGAGTTGCCATGTTCAAGTTGAACTTTCAAAATCCGGGGTCCAAAGTCACAAGGCGAATGTTTCAATCATAGATATTGATGCAGAATTGCTCAGTATACTCCAGTTCTTTTTCTAAGTTTATTTCATTGATATTGGTGCTTAATCTCTAATAACAACATGAGCTTTCTCTAGAACGAGTTTGACCCCCGGCGTGAGGTTAGGGTACTTGACCAGGGCGCCAAAGATAGTAAACACAACAGTGGCATCTTTCACGCTGGTACCGGCTGATTCTTCTTTGTCTTGCGGCTCTGCATCCTCGTCATTCAGTGCTTCTCCTCTTTTTATTCGTTGACATTGGTACACATCTTTGCATCCTCGCACAAGTAGAGCGAGTTGATGAGCACCCTCACAGACCTTGACAAGATGCTTTTCGAGATCACTGCATTTCTTCTCCGATACCTTATCCGTTTCTGGGGGTAGGATGGGGGATATGAACTCCCATATCTGATGCGCAACCTTTTCCGGCCATGTGCTTTGGGCATGATCACTGATCAACGCGGCGCATTCGACGGTACGAGTCCTCCATTCAGCTATGTCCGAGTGGCGACCTGATTGCATGGTTAACATAAAAGAAAAACGCATAAGCACATGTGCACCTTACCTTCTGTTTTCTCGAGGGCCTCTTCAAATTGGGCCAGGCTGATCTCTAGATCTCCATGTACGTTGAAGTCCTCTAGGCCAAAACACCGCCGGCCCAAAATCCAATCGTGAAGCAATTCGAAGATCATGGCTCGTACCCTGTTTCTTAATTGAGGCTGGGTGAGCTTTTTCCTCCACAGACTGAAGAACTCCTGCTGCCTTTGTGATAGTTGTTTCATTCCTTTTGGCCTCTGATCGACTTGATAAAACTGGAAGGCAATATTCTGGATCTGCTGCCTCAAGGCCACAAATAATGTAATAATCGTGGAGTCATCTACCTGCCTGCTCTGGCCGCTGCCTTTCATGATGATATCACGAAACTTTGCTACCTGTTCTTGCAACTTTCGGTTGGCTTGGTCCAATTCTCCGATTCGTACAACCTGCATCTTCCTCTGGTTTTCGACATTCTCTCGTCGTTCCTCCAAATCTTGATTGACTGTAGACATGTTACTAAGGCGGGCTGCCATAATGTTCATTTGACCTTGCAACTCCTGTTGTTGCTGCTCCAGTGCTTTATTTTCAGCCACTGTGCTTTCCAGTACCAGGTCAATGCGCGCTCTCTCTTCCAAAAGATCTCGGCTTCGTTGCTCAGTTCTTTCAAGATTATGTTTCAACTCGTGATACTCTCTCTCAAGGATCTTTCTCTCGTTAATCAGTTCGATCTTCTTTGCTTCGTTTATCTTGTTCTTGTTCCTCAACATGGCCATTTCTTCGACGAGGTCAGTCACTGTTGAAGTACTGGTGATTGATTTCCTCCCAAACAACGATAACTACGTTTATTGTTATTATTTGGAATGAATGAATCGATTGAGAAGTTGGGTGACTTACCATTCTACTGTCATATGTGTCCGTACCCCGATATCGATCATATTCCCCTTTTCCTGAACTGGTTCCCGCGTCTGTAATTGAAGACGTCTGGCCACATATCTCGTCTTTCACTTGGCGAAGGACACTAGCTATCTGGCTGTTGAGTTCAACAAGTCCACGTTGCTGTTCTTGTCGAATGAAAGAAAGTTGGCTCAACAATAGGTCGACCCCGGGATTGCCTGTGGCGCCGGGCCCCTGGTAATCAGATGATTCCATTATTCTGCAGAGAGTGTCAAGTTTCTCCTCGGTGGTTTGATAATTCTGAACGCAGCCTTATCGGTATAAACTGCATTTAAGATTACAAGGACTCTCTTTAAGAAGCAAGAATTCGAGGATGTCTTGTTGAGCCCAGCGTACGATCTGGTTATTTCAACATCTGGTCTTTGAAGAGGAACTGATTACCTACTGTAACCGAGAATGCTCTGCAACTAGCTCTGTTTGCTTCGATGCTCACTTTTCTTCAATGGATGGATATTGGACTCCTACATTGTGAGGAGAGGATACCCAAGACTGATCTTGTTTGGCTGCGCTAATTCTATTTCGAAGGAACTTAGCCACCTACTGCAGGCTTGCGAGACCAGCAGCTCATGTTATCGAGAACCTTTCCTTGATACAATTCGGAAGGGCCAGTCGAAAAGAGCCGTCAGAAATGCATGGAATAGAAAAACAGGAAACATGAGCTGACGCCTTCCCGAAATGCAACGTAGAAAAGCCGTTTGCAGGCGGCCGTTTGTCAACAGCTAATAGCAAATGATATTTTTCGAAACACAAATGTACCATGCACTCTTCCCTCCGATCCTATGTTCACTGTCCTTTTGGGGAAGAAACTGCGAAGTACTTGGCTCAGAGGGGATGGGAAGACCCACGTGACTCGACATAGTCATCCTTTCCATATCCGAGCTTATTTAGACCTAACCCTAATAATAAATCAAGGGTCTACCTAAATCGACGCAGCACTTACCTAAATCGACGTACTTATCCTATTTCGGAAAGTTAGAATATAATTACGGGAGTACATCTATTATACCCTCGCTATAGTAGTAATTAGTATAGTAGCGCAAGTAGACAAGATATAAACAATTAATTAATTAGTAACTCTATAACGCCTACAAAAATAAAGCTATTCCTAACTATCGTCGTCTAACTTAAACTCTATATCTTAGGTATATACCTTAACACTACTAATAACCTCCCTCTCTAACGCCGTAATACTATTCCCTATCGCCGCTACAGCCGCTATAGTAGAGTCTACTATAGAGTCAGACTAATAGACAGATAATATGCCTTATATATACATTCGTTCTCTCTAGGTACCTAGCTTATACAGATCTATATAGCCTACAGCAAGCCGTACTATCCTTATAGTAGCTGTTATAGGCCTAGAATACACTATATATAGCTACTCTAACGATAGACAAGGCTCGTCAAATCTAGGTAGCGCTAAACTTAAAGGTAGCTTAAAAGTAGAAGGATCCTAACGTGTATTAAAAGGTACTACGCGTATAACACCTCTTAGCGTACCCCTTAGACGGCCCCTACCCTAAACTAGAACAGGATCTAGTATTAGTAGAGGTAGTAGTAGACGAGTAATAGACTATTAAGGAAAGGGACTTGTTTCTAGCCTGTAATAGTACTAGTAAGGATATATATCTTCTAGTAAGATTACTCCTCTCTTATTCTTTCTCTCTTAGATCTTGTAGTAGTAAGGAAGGCCTATAGACTATTAGATAGTACACTTATAGCTAAGGAGAGGAGGCCTACGTATAAGGAGCTTTTATTACTCTTATAGGATCTTTTGTAGAGCGTAGCTATTAACGTACTTAAGAACAGTAGTAAAAAGAGAGATGTTTGTACTGTGTTTAGGACGTAATTACTACTATATAGTAGTTAGTTTAATAGCCTTATACTAATTATCTTAGAAATTCTTTAATTTGTTAAACACTCTCCTTAGATCCTTATAGCTACGTTATAAATAAGACTTTAGAATAGCGTAGTAACCCTTTATTAGACTAGTAACAGTCACCCTAAAGTAGTAATACTAATTAATCTAATAGGCTACTAAGTTCTCTTTCTAAATAAGCTATATGCCTTTATAGTAGCTTATAGCGCTAGTAGAGAATTTCGACTATATTTCTACTAACAATTTGTTATAGTCCTCTTCTGTCCTACTAGCTAGTAGTGTATTCTACTAGCTAATAAACTCTTAGAAGCTTAGGTATCTCTTAACTCTACTATCGTCGTGTTTAATTAGTCCCGGAAAGAACCTCTTAGTTTTAGCTAGAACGTTTATATTAACGTACTACTAGTAAAGAAAGTAATAGGATTAAGAGAGCTATGCCTATATACATTACATTAAAGCTAGTTCTTTATCTGTTATAATAGTAGTTAGCTCCTAGATTATGTTACTAGCTATAACGTCCTAAAGTTACTTTATAGCCTATTTATAATTAATCTCTTTTTTAGTAGATAAAAACACTAGTCCTACTTGTATTACTATGTTGTTACCTGTAATTACATATATATTTAGTAAGGGCATGTTAAATCTGTTAGTTTTGTATGTATAATTAAGTAAAAGAACATCTAGATACTACTTCTATAGTACTAAAGAGGTTAGATAGATAAAGAACAGCTGTTATAACAGGCCGGATTAAGGGTAGTAGTAAGGGCTATAGCTACTGTTTTAAAGCTCTTATAATACTAGGTAAGTTAGTATATAACTAGGTAATAACAAGGGCTAAAAAGGCTATATATCCTGCCTCTAAAAGCTACTATATTAACGTCTTTCTACCTAAGACTTTAATCCTCTCTTTTTAGACTATATTAGTTACATCTTTTACTAATAGTAAAGCCCTAGGATCCTCTTTACTAACGGCTGTTAGTATCTGTAAAGTAGCTACACTAGAGCTAGCTAAAGATATAATTAAGGTATAAGTAGCTAGACTTAGAGTAGTAATCTAGTAAGAAGGATAGGCTATAAGAGCTACTAATCTTTTGTAATTATATGTAGCCTTATCTATTTAGAGACTTTATTACCCTAATATCCTGTTATAGTATACTAAAACCCTTATCCTATAGCTATACTTCTTTATACTAGTAGACTTACACCGTCTAAAAAGATAGGTATTAGAGTTCTTACCCCTTAGATTATACTTTCTAGTACGATTATAACAGAATACTGCCTTATAATCTTTCTTATCTTATCGAACTAAGGCATATCTATTAAGCTTTATATACTCTTAAATAGTAGTATACGTAGTATCTAGATTAAGGTAAGTCGCGAGTAAAAGGGTAAGGCTATAAGCTTAGAAGGTAGGTATAAATATAGTAAAACAAGTAAGAAGTAGTAGTAGTAGTAGTTGTTATTATTAGTAGTAGTAGAAAATAGTAGTAAGATTATAGAGAAGTAGTGTTATAAATAGCTTTAATTTTTTAAATTTTTTATATATTATAAATTATTTACTATTACTAAGTGTACTTATATTACTATATAAATTACTATAGTAATACAAGTATAATAAGTATATAGAGTAAATCTCTTACTTATTCTAAAATAAGATAAGTACGTTAATTTAAGTAAGTACTACGTTAATTTAGATAGACCTGTCTAGAAGAATACCTTATAGGCAAACTATAGGTTTCTATAACAGTCCTAGGACTGTTGTAGGACTAATAAAAATTTATAACCGCCTTTTTTTAAGATTAGGCAGAGACTGTCCTAAGACTGTAGTAAAATACAACAGTTGTAATATTTAACGGTTGTAATTAATATAACAGTTGTAATTTATTTACAACTCGTCTAATTAGCTTACATTAGGTCACATTAGCTCGTATTAGCTCGCGCTCTCTGCCCTCCGCCCCCTCCGCCCTCTATCCTCCGCCCTCCTCTATCTACCCTCTACCCCCTCCTTACGTAACCCTCTACCCTCTACCGAGACTACCCTCTGCCCTTTTATCCTAGGTACTACTACAACAAACAGTACAGCTATTTATATAACGCGTACATTCTGTTAGGTGTATTTCTATAGAGTAAAAGAGGTAAGAGTTAATAGACAGTTGTAGTATATTTAAAGGTATATTACTACTTTAACTATAGACTAATCTCTAAACCCCCTTTCTTTTCCCTCTTTCTTCTCTATTCTTATACTTCTTAACGCCTACTATTACTTTAGTCGTAGTATATAGTTACTTTATACTTAATTTCTAAGCTATTATAGTCTTACGTATTAGCGTACCTAATATAGTATCCTTTCTTTTTTTAGCTTTTATCCTTAGAAGCTTATAAGTAGCTATTAGATTATAAGAAGGCCGTGTTAGGCCTAGATATAGCCTTTAAATACCTTCTTTCTAAAATAAAGGAATAAATTAGTAAATAAATACGTATCTATATAACTAGTAGTATTAGAAAAAGGAGAGTAGTAGTAACTTTATAGTATAGTAAAGGCGTATAGCTAAACTATAAGATTTCTATTATATATTATACTTTTAGATCTTTACCTTATACCTCTTATATTTACTTTTAGCTAAGATACCTTATAGTAAAGTACTAGTAAGTTACTAAGTAGTTATAAGACCCTTAATATATAGTACTAACTATATTACCTAAGCGCGCTAGTATTCCTTACCCTTTACTACTTTTAGAAATCCTTTATTACTTCTTACTAGAAGGTTAATAGTATACTAATAGTAAGTAGCTATAAAGATTAAACTATATTACTTATAATTATATTTTTTTAAGTAAATATAGAAAAATACTTTCTTTATCCTTCTTTACTTAGTCCTTTTCTTATAGTACTAAGAGGTATATAAAGACTTGTTTTTACTAGTTTGTTATCTTTTTTTCTTTTTTTTACCTTATATAAATATAACACTACTACACTCTCTCTTTCTTATAACTCTTTTAACAAACTTCTAATAAACCTTAATTAAACTACTAATAATAATATAGTACTAATAAAGCGTTTAGTAGCTTATAAGTAATACCTAAACTAAATAGCTTTATAAGACTTATAAAGTACTTTCTTAAAGTATAAAGATAATAACTATAAGTATTCTTTCTTAGTAAAGAGTAACGGCCTAATAGTATAGTAGCTATATTAGTAAAGTACATCTATTATAAAAATTTAAAAAAAGAGTATATTTCTATAAGTATAACTCTTCTTAAGGTAACACTCTTATATTATAGCTTTATTAACGTTACTAGGTCGTTACTACTCTTT